AAGTAGGGTGTTGTGGGAGGTGGGGTCAGAGCCAGATGGGGGGTCGTGGCCACGAAGGGGGGGGGGGGGAAAGCAGAAGTGTAAACGCTGGAACCCTTGGCGTAAATTGCAGCTTGGCTCTTGTGAATCAAAGGATACGCCAGTGCTGCTACGTTATCAATTGTTACAAAATAATTGTCATGTGAACGTATTTGAGAAGATGTTTAAATATAAGTTACAATTTGTGGTTAAAGATGAGAGTATGTCGCCATCAACATCGCAATTCAAGCGGTAACTCTTTGGACTCGTATTTGGAAAGCGCCAGGTTCGAATTTCGACATGGGTACTGACTAGCCTGAGCTTTGTTCATGGGGTTTCCTCAGTCTCTCCATGAAAACGCTGGGACAAACCCTCAAATTAGGCCACAGCCCCTTTCTTTCCAATTTATTATTCACTGTTGACGTTATATAATGTGAGTTATTAACAGTGCCTTTAAAGATACCATAAACAAGTGAATCCCAAGTACGTAATGTCAACGTATTTTAACGCATTTACGAGACAAAACCGTTTGGAGACCAGAAATTTTTAATGCAATTTTCTAGTTTAACAGTGAAAGCAAAGCCCTACAAAGGGCCCCTGTTTGCCCCCGTGTGCTATTAGGCATCGAGCTCTCCTTCGGGATATCAATAGGCATATACAAGTCTTATGCATTTGTAAATTTCCGACGCAATGTACGAAAATATGATGTTTTTTAATGGAAATCTGTAGTTCTTCAAGATTTAGCTTTTGACAGTACTAGTGGAAGCCTTGTCTGTCACAAGCATTGCCTGCGGCGAACAAGCTGAAAAACTACTAATTTGTTACGAAACACTACTTAAGCAAAATTTCAGATTCTGACAGCAATGACAGGGAAATTACTGTCTTCTTGGTTGTGGCGCTGGCAGATCGTTACGTAAATGGTAAAGGGATGGGGGGGGGGAGATATTAGCGAATGCATTAACAAATTTTTCCGTTCATCACAGACGAGTGGGTTTCTTGAGGTCTGTATAGTACCTACACACATACATTCCGGTAACACTGACAGACCGACACGTGACAAGATTCAAATCCGATTTGTCCGATTATAATGAAGCTGCGTGAGGTAGAAAAGTTGCGAGGCAAATATTAAAATTTTCATCTCCGTGTGAGTGCGGAATTAAAGCATCGCTATGTCTTTCTAAATCAGATTTACCCTCCCCCCCACAAAAAAAAAGTGTTTATGATAATCTGTATCAAATTCCGTCGAAATTTAATTCGAGTAATTTTTGTATGCCATCATTATCATATGCGGACGCAAGCTGAGCGTGAACTTGACTTNGGGGGGAAGGGCAACGGCAACACAGTCTGCTTTTACCGGTTCTCACGGTCTCTTCGCTTGCAGATTTCTTATATTTTTTATTCTACCCTGAAGAGGGAGGCGATACGTTCCTCCGAAACGTCGGTTAACACCACATATACACGGTGCCAGATCCCAGAAGACTGCTTTCTTCATAGTCACCGCCGTGAAAGCCTCAAATCTTAGAAAGAAGTTATTATTGCTCACGCGTCTAAAGCATGTAAACCGTTCGACCTACTTTTTCCTGATCTGAAAAAAAGGCGTACGAAACTGTGGAGGAGGTTAAGGTCATCGGATCCCAATTTCTCTTTGTTCAGTCAAAAAGGGCCAGAGCGACAGTAGGGGCCAGCCATGCAGGTGCCTAAGGCGGCAGAGTTTGCAATCCCACACACCCCCATTTTATTTTGCCGTTTTGCCAATGAAAAATAATTCATTTTGATCTTCTGTTCATAGCATGAATATTGAATGTCAATGACCTAAATATGTACATAAAACTATTTTAAACATTACATCAGTGACAGTTGTCATATTTGTCCGGTAATTTTGCATTACAAAAAAAAATCCGTAACCTGTAGTCCGCAAGCGAACTATACCGACCAAGCGACCTCTGCTTATCGGCAAAGTTAGCGCCAAATTTTGCGGTTAGGGGGTGCCACTTGGTCAGCGCAACGGATCCCCTCGGCCGTTAATCTCGGTCTTCTAGACTGGAGCCGCTATTTCCTTGAAATAGCACCTCAATTATCCTCATGAGGCTGAGTGGACCCCGTTTCAGACATACTACTCCTCAGAAAATCTGTTAGAGCCGGAAATCGAACCCGGGACATCTGGATCTGTAGCCAGGAACTCTGACCACTAGACCACAGAGGAGGTACAATTTCGCATTATTGTGAAGATATGATGGAAAAGACAATTTTGCTTTTAACTGAAGAGGGAGGCAAAATTTTCTTTGCCTAGTGCACCAATTATGTTTGGGTAGGCCTTCCAATTAACAAAACGTTGTGCTATGGAGTCAGCCATCATTCTAGCTTGACAGACCTCCACTTTTAAACGCCAAACACCGACAGACGAATTTATTATGAACTTTTGTTACACAAAGGCAAAACCCGAAGAAGTTGAGAAAGCAGTAGAGGTGGCACTGGAAGAAGGGTACCGTCTCATTGATACAGCTTTTAATTACAACAACGAAGAAGCAATTGGGCGTGCACTGAGATGCTGGGTGGATGCAGGGAGATGCCGTAGAGAGGACTTGTTCATTACGACCAAGGTAAAATGGATCAAGGTCTGAATATAAGGCATTCTCTTTTCCAAATACTGCTCCTTAAATATGTCAGGCTGCTTTTTTTGTGGTACCTAAGCATAAATATGAAGATAATTACTAATTCCAATGATATTTGTGAAATATCAGCATACACACACTAGTCAACAACAGTGCAACTACACAGGCTGGGTAATGAATCTACAGCCGAAGGGGCATATGTGAGAGGAAACATCATCACAACTACATTCAAGAACTACATGATGACATGAATACACCCATGTCTCAGGAGAGGCTCTGGAAACAAGTCATTTGGATGGGTAGATACCCACAACAAGAATGGGATTTAACTAATTTTAACTAAAATGAATTAGGGTTTCATTTTGATGTGAAATTGAGACATATCATGCAGTGTAGCAATTTTAGCATAGTGGTAGACACCTAATGATCAATGACTGCCTTCTTTACCCCCATAGCGCCCCCTTAATATTTTGGGTCAGATGTTCTAAACATATCATAATACAAATACAAAACACTCCATCCAATGTGACATATAAGTTTTACTACATGAAAACCTATCAACCCTTACATGTTTCGGTCCTTATGGACCATCTTCGAAGGGAACATCATTACAAGCTGGAAACTACTACCACAATAGGTATTTTAATTTAATTACATACACTTGTCCTACAGCGCACAGTAAGCATAAAATAGGACAAGTGTATGTAATTAAATTAAAACACCTATTGTGATAGTAGCTTGTGATGATGTTCCCTCCGAAGATGGTCCATAAGGACCGAAACATGTAAGGGTTGATAGGTTTTCATGTAGTAAAACTATATGTCACATTGGACGGAGTGTTTTGTATTTGTAATTGTTAGTGTGACGGACCAGAATGAAACAAATAAAAAATATCATAATACATATGCAATTTAAAAGACTTGCTCTTAGGTCTGTAATATGGCTGTTTTGTGTGAAACAGTGCATCTCCAATTTTCATGTAAAGAATTTGCTCATTATCTGATATTTTTGTACTGACAGTAGTTTGTATTTGTCTGCTGTAATACAAATTGAATTAATGAACAGTAAAGTTGCTCTTCAATAAGTTGTATATTGTTTTCATCACAATGTCCTCAAAGGCCAAGATTTGCTTGCGGATGTAACTGTTGCTTTATTCCACAAGTGTACAAAATTTCAAACAGAAGCCCCGTTAAAAATATACTAATTTTTCCACAGCTTCCCCATGTTGGAAACCGTGCTTCAGATGTGGAGAAGTACCTAACCACATCATTACGCAGATTACAGCTTGATTATGTGGACCTGTACCTAGTTCATGTTCCATTTGGGTTTGTACCTGATAAAACAAGCGAGAATCCAGCAAAGAATGCTGATGGATCATATATACTTGATGATACAGATCTTCTAGCTGTGTGGAAGGTAATTTTATATATAATGATCTAGGTTCTATATTTATTTATTGCTAGTGGGGTGGGACTAACAAGGGAATGGTCCGATCCGACATGTCGAAACCTGCCCTGATTTTTTTTTCACTGCAAGAGTACACATAACACTATCCATTGTCAAAATTTTAGCTGCTAATACGAACTGTAAGCATTTTTTTTTTAAATTTCCGAAGTTACTCATTTTTTGTGTAGGCGGAACCGCTTGTACCAGAGGTTTGTAAAACCCCAGCTGTGTACTTGTCAGTTTACGATGCATTTGTGCTGTGCTATGTCTCTACCGATGCACCGGAAGCCTAGGCTGTGAGTCTGCCATGTTGCGTGTTGCATACTGCTGTGCTCTGCTAGGGGTGGACATTTCTCCAAGGGTCTGGCAGGCTATAATATTGGCCATGTTCAGCAATTTTTAAAAAATACTTGCAGTGCGTATTAGCAGCTAAAATTTTGACAGTGGATTTTGTTGTGTGTACTCTTGCAGTGAAAAAAAAAAATCAGGGAAGGTTTCGACATGTCGGATCGGACCATTCCCTTATAAGTCCCTTGTCCTGCGGCCACTTCTGGCCTATTGTACCAGACCCAGATGATAGGTGAGGGTAATTGTGGAGCAATTGGTGGAATGAAGATTGGCAGGGAAAACCGAAGTACTAGGAGAAAACCTGCTACAGCGCCACTTTGTCCATCACAAATCCCACTTGACCAGACCCGGGTTCGAAGCCGGGCCGCCGCGATGGGAAACCAGCGACTAACTGCTTGAGCTATGGCGCGGCCTTAGGTTCTATAATTTGCTCAGCACATACTTTTTCATACATATGATACATATTATATCTGAATGAGATAATTTGGTCGGGGGACACACATAAACTGATTGAAAAATTCATTCAGTAAGACCTGGTAATTATATTCACTCGTAATATTAAATTAGTTAAAATTTATGTTGTAATGGACTGGACAAGAAGTTTAGTTGAAACAAGAAAGTCATACATAATTTCATTGGGCGAATCACTAAGAAAAGGGGCCCACTTAGAAGTGTTGCTAAAAATTACTAATGCTGGGATTATAAAGCACACAACGTGAGAATTTGCTTAGAAGCAAAGAACAACATATTGCTTAAATGTGTTCAACTGTATATGAAAAGTATGAATTGCAAGTGTAAAATGGAGTGAAAGTACTGAAACTACTCTGTACAACACACAACATGAGAATTTGCTTAGAAGCAAAGAACAACATATTGCTTAAATGTGTTCAACTGTATATGAAAAGTATGAATTGCAAGTGTAAAATGGAGTGAAAGTACTGAAACTACTCTGTACAACACACAACATGAGAATTTGCTTAGAAGCAAAGAACAACATATTGTTTAAATGTGTTCAACTGTATATGAAAAGTATGAATTGTAATTATAAAATGGAGTGAAAGTACTGAAACTACTCTGTACAAAACGGATGCTCCTGCAACAAATTATATTAGTAAGGTACAGCTTTCCATTTCTTCATATAAGACTGCATCTACCATGCTATGCTCACGATAAGATTAGAAACCAAATTCAAAATGAGGTTCATGCTGGCCGTAAACTTCTCATGTATTCTGTATTGCAGCTAAGTATCTATGCATTTTCCAACTACACACTGCAACACTGCTGCCATAAGATCAATATTTTTCTTCCAAACATATGATAAATCACAGTCATGATATGCTTTGTATTACTCCTATTTTACATAAATTCTAATGACTACGGACAAATATTGTATGCATTAATTCAGGAGTTTTCCATCCATTTACAGGCAATGGAGCAACAAGTGGATTTGGGCCGTACCCGCAACATTGGTTTATCTAACTTCAACATATCACAACTGGAACAGATAGCTTCTGTAGCAAGGATCTGTCCAGCCACACTGCAAGTGGAACTCCATGCTTATCTGCAACAACCAGCATTACGTGCCTGTTGTGCAAAACTGGGGATTCCTATTACAGCTTATTCACCCCTGGGATCACCCGGTGCAAAGATCCATTTCCAGCAAAAATACAATTTTCAATACCAGTAAGTTTAAAAATTTCAAATCATGCATCTGTTTTCCAGAGATAATGACTAGGGTATTAGCCAGTCAAACTGAACGTGAAACACAGGAGATATGAATTTAATGTACTTTTTTGTCTCATGCATTGCAGAATACATTTCTTGCGAATACACTTCAGGCGCCCTGGGACGAATAATAAAAACGCTTTAATTTTATTATTTCTTTGTGGAAAATGGAGGTCAAAATACATAATTTAGTTGTTTCACTTCCTTTCTTACTTACAGTTTAGAAGAGAAAATTCTTGTGGATACATATAATAGTTTTAGCATACTGTACTTAATAACAAATCAGAATTTCCCCATTGGTTAGGTAATAAAGGTAAAGTGTTCCCTGTGGTTGGATTAGTTAAGCACTATGCCATGAAGATATCTGGTGGGTGTGAAGGTACAGCTCCACCTTTCTTGAGCTTGGCACTAGATGGAGGTGAGTCATCAGTTTCATGCCCCTGCTGCTTTACCTCTGGGGAAAGAGCCCCAGTATCCACTACATAGGAGACTGGGTGGGCCCCAGAGTAGGTAGGTGTATTAAATAAATATTTCTTTCACTTTTCTCTAGGGACATAAATTTCTCTCACATTTGTTTTTGAGCATCATTTAGGAGATATAAGAAGCTGCGGCTCAAGCCCTTCTATTTTTGTTCTTTATCATTTAACTTTCTGACTTAGAATTTAGCAACTTAAACACAAGAGTTATTTATACCAAAACTGTTGAAAAACTCTTCTTCTAGGTAGAAAAATCCAAAGTAACAAATTTTTGTTCCTTAAAATTTCACTTTAACAGAAAGTATGACAGACAGAAATGAAGCAAGATTTCTTTAGATGCAGTGTTGCCGTCTTTTTTATATTCCTGTATCAATGTGAAAACTGCCATACAAAAACTCAAAACTATATCAGGCTGGATCCTGACGTCGATATCATTAATAATGCACATCATTCTTTCACTGATATCCAACAACAGTCAAGTAATCCATCGTTCTAGCTTCTATAAAGAGTAAAAAAAAAGTAAAGCTATCCCTGTAACAGGGCGTGGTTGCCCAGAGGATTGTGAGATGTCGAGACTCCCACATTTTCTACACAATCAGCTCACAGATGGCCAGCCGGCTGCCCTTTACCCCCCAGGAAGATCCGTGATACTCATTCCTGTTAAAAGGCTGAGTCGATCCCCAGGGCTATAGTGCGACTGGAAGGGTTAGGACAATTGAAAACATCCAATGAACTCATCAATAATCGAACCTGCTACCTTCCGGCTTATAACATAATGCCTCAATCAACTACACCAGCACCTGCCCCTTCTAGCTTCTGTAATATAATATTTTCTCACCCCCCTTCCGGAATTTTGGGCATATTTCATATTGATTCTTATGTTGTTAAGTGTCAAAAACCTGCTTTACTTTTGTCTCTACCACGTGGTACCAAGTCCTGGCATAATTCTAAATATATTGTGACATGTTGCGCAAAGCCGAGCCCCCCCCCCACACCAGCAGTGACGCGGTGGGTGAGTCAGCGCTCCCCTCCCACCCCTCAGCGGTAACGTAACGCTCGCGTAATAGGCGAGTAATCACCCCGCATCCTGGCAGCTATGCGCGGTGACGACAATATTAAGACTTCAAAAGAAAAATCCCTTCTACAAACATCTGCAATTCTTTATGAAGGAAAATCAAATTTTGAAAGCGGCTGGGCTGGAACCAATTTACTCGTATATTGCTGCATATTAGTGACTAGACACGGGGTTCGGATTGAGCATACTGCATGCCAGGAAATAGTCGGAATTCGGCACAAAGAAACCAGGCGCGCAAACCGGATACTGAAAACGTAGAAAAAACACTATAGAAGATAGCACCAACTGATTTCCGAGCAGTGCAGCTGCCCCACTAGGAAAACGGAACGAGAGTATAAATAAAGTAGGATCAACCACTATCAAACAGCAAAGTTCTATAACAAAAACAAATTCCGTGCCCTGTAGTCCGTAAGCGTAGAGGGTGTCGCGTGGTCAGCGCAACGGATCCCCACGGCGTTTAATCTCGGTTTTCTAGACCGAAGCCGCCATTTCCTTGAAATGGCTCCTCAATTATCCTCACGAGGCTGAATGGACCCCGTTCCAGACTAACTACTTCTCAGAAAATCTGGTAGCGCCGGGAATCGAACCCGGGACCTCTGGATTTGTATCCAGGAACTCTGTCCACTAGATCACAGACGCGGTCTGAAGTTCTATGACAACACCGAAGAAACTGAGTAACATAACAATCAAGATAACAGCTACAAACCAGAATAATACATATACAACGACAATAACTATAAACTAGAACGAAAATAGTACATGATAAATACCAGAAGTATAAAAGAAAACAAATTTTAATTAATTGGTTAAATATCATAATACACCATAACGACATATTTTATGATAATTAAATTCTGTTTATACATATATATCGTTAAACGTTTCAAATGTAAGACTTTTTCTCCAATTTTAATACATATTAAAATAATTTTAGATACATGATTGAATATTTTAACTAAAGAGGAAACCAGACACATATAGTTATAAGTATTTAAGTTATATAAGACCATATAAATATAGAGGGCAATTCAATAGTTTAAAAATGTATGTTTAATTCTACCCCCTGATGATGGCTTTAGGAGTCGAAACATGTAGCGCACTGTAATACCATAAGACCAATAAACTCACTGATGCACGATGGAAGTGTGATTGAGTTTTGGATAGTTGTGTTCCGATAGGAGCAATTTAAAATTAATTTGTAAATTAGATTTACTGATTACTTCTGATTTGTAACTACAAAAATTATAACGCTCTCACTAATCTACACCCTGTACAAAACATTACAGCACATACTAAGTCTTCTCAGCTTGTTATGTATTTACTAGTCGTTGCTAGGTAACAGCTTTAACAATTAAGATTCTCCGCTTCCGCGCTCACTGCTCACCACCAACTCCGAGTGCTGAATCCCGACTAACACGCTTCGGGGGAGGGAGAATGCTGCTGTCCTTTGCCAGCACAGTCATTCTTGGTGTCGGGTCCCGTCAGGACGTTGCAGCGGGAATGCGTTCACCTAGCTCTTGCCTAGCAACGGCTGTCGTTTCCGGTTCCACTATTCCAGCTTTCAGCCGTCATGTCACAGGGTAGTTTACAACCCTCCCACTATTCACCCTTCCAAATTTGGACAACTGTTCAAAATCTCCTAACACTCAGCCACCAGAATACTTGCGTGTGTAACATCCCTAGTTACTCCGAAATCCCGGCCACAGCTTCTTGATAGCTGTAACTAAAGGCTGAAATAATCTCGCTACCAACGTAGCCAATACGTGGAGTAGATTCTTGGTAGGCGGAGCAGGACTCACTGGAGTAGTAGGTTCGTTGCTGGATGCACTTGATGTTGTCCACACAACCGCGATTACGAACAACAGGACAAATGTCGCCATGAATATCATCATCATCATTTTCATTGTTTCGTTCTCCCACCAGTGTTTCCTTTCGAGCCTGCCAGATGGCTGTGCGAACTGTGGCGTCCACTGCTGCAGGGAATTTGCAACGTTATCTAAATCTAACAGCACCACATCAGATTCGATCACTTTCTGGCCTTTCTGGGTAGCCTGGATCAGCGGGTTGAATTGAATATCTCCTACCCCTTCCTCTCCAGTCCCTGAATATCCTTTTGTACCGCACATTTTAGTAAACTATATAAACTCTACAGATCACTACAGCACACGCTAAGTGTTACGTCTGCACTATTCGTTCTTAGGTAGCGAATTCTAACAATGAAGATTCTTCTCAAGTCAAGTCGGCACGGACAGCATATAAAACACCTCTTATAACAGTTCCTATATTGTTGCGTACGTAACCGTTTCCGCAGGAACTTCTTAGAGGAGCCGTTACCTAACAACGGAGGTCTATCCTGGTTCCATTATTCCAGCTTTCAACCGTCATCTATCTATATAAATAAAAATGTAAATGTTCGTCTGTTCAAGATCTTAAATCCCCGAAAGTTCTTCACCGATTGCTTTGAAATTCTGATGCAACCTTGCATTCGAATACCAGCGTATTTTTATATACCTATTATATAGATGTCACACCTGTGACAGGTAAAAACATGCTTCTTTTGAAAAACAGAATTGGAATTCAGAAGAGTCACCCCTATGGAAACGCCAGAACAGACCGTTGCATAGGAAGCAACAATAGCGATACTGTAATCCCAACAGTGAGCCGTTGTGTCGAGAACATCGAATCTCCACGGTTACGACGAATACACGGAGCGTTCCCACAGAGACAATGCAATGACAATGGGTCGTTGCGTAGGAATCGCGGAATCAACAAAGCAGCGTTTCCGCGGTTATGACAAAGGCTCATTTGCATAGCAGCGGCCGACGGTCCACTGGTCCCTATCTTGAGCCAGATAATTCCAGTCCATCCTATCTCTAATATTAATAATATAAATCAATGTCAGTAGTTTCTTTAATCAATGGACTATGCATGTAACAGTAAATGGCTACAGGTTTGAATTTTGAGGTGCATTCTGAACAGCATCAAAAAATCAGCTTTCAAAATTACTGACTGAAAAAAAAAATCACAATTTTCAACAAAATGTTAAAATTTTTGCATATGAAAACATTGAACCAAACCAAGTTCAGTAAACCCATGAAAGGCCCATCAGTTTTATTCATATTATTCTAGCTAGCACCAGTTGGACCAATCATAGGATACTTAATATCATCTTAACTTCACTGATCACCTAGCATTAAGCGATATAAGAAGAATTTGATGAAATTTAAAGGACTGGAGGAAAGAAATTTCAGTTATTTTCCTGGCATTCATTTGCAGGTACTGAGTTAAATCAAGAAAATCCTCTCAGGATAGTTGATAAACTGATCAATATTCGAAGTGGGTATTATCTGTGTTTTTATTGCTAGTGGGGTGGGACTAAGTCCCTTGCACTGCAGCCACTTCTGGCCTATTGTACCAGCCCCAGATGATAGGTGAGGGTGATTGTGGAGCAATTGGTGGAATGAAGACTGGCAGGGGAAACCGAAGTACTCGGAGAAAACCTGCCCCAGCGCCACTTTGTCCACCACAAATCCCACTTGACCAGACCCGGGATCGAACTTGGGCCACCGCAGTGGGAAGCTAGTGACTAACCGCTTGCGCAGCCTTCGAAGTGGGTACCTCCAGAACACAAGTTTGAAGCTTGATCACTTGAGTCAATTTGTTCAGTTAACATTGATAAAAATAATCACATTTCAGTATGAACTGCTATTTGGCTATAAGTCTTAAACTTGATCAAAGAAGTTGTGTAGTGTCCAACTGAGAGAAGAGGTGGGGCTCTGGCGTTCCTATTGGTGTATAACAAGAGGGGTGGAGGACATTCCACTGCCAGAAGACCAAAGGATGGCACTATGACAGGGGTCAACTTTGTTCAGCAAAGATCTATGACCTTGAGCTCTGCATGGGTAAAGCCAATAGTAATTATGAGGGCCTCAGTCTGGAGGGTTTTGGATCTTAATGATGAGTTGCACTGGAGTACACAATGGACCCATTAGAGGTCTGACTGCTCAAGGGGTGACTAGAAATTGTCCCATGTCAAAATAATGCAGTACAAAATTTACTACACTTCACTAATGATGCAAGAGTTCTAGTATTTTTTTTTTCAAAAGAATTGTAATATGTTACAGTATCCATTTCTTTGTTCTTTACTCTGTTTTTATTCTTCATGCTGTATAGACAATGAATAACAGATCATTTTACATACTTCTAACCTTCTGCCTCCAGAGAGAATAATGAACCAGACCTACTAGAGCATCCACTGGTGAAACAAATTGCAGGCTCTCATGAAAAGTCTCCAGCACAGGTGTTGCTCCGGCACCTCATACAACAAGGAATTATTGTAATCCCCAAGAGTGCAAACCCCACACGCATCAAAGAAAATGGAAAGGTACCTAAGTGTATGCTACTTCTTTTTAAATTCTTGGCATACAGATTCTCTTATATACCTGCATAACAGAAGAAATCATTTTGGAAAGTTACTATGCTGATTTTCCCCTTCCACTCACAAAATTTAAGTAAAAATATTATTTGTTTTGTTTTCACTCAGTTTAAGGCTTCTTACCCTGAGACAGAATGAGGTTCATGGAAAGATCTTCCATCATTTCTTGAAACTGGAAGGACTCAAACTGAGAATTTAATATCTGGTTAGAACAGGGAGTTAATAGTCCATACAATGTCTGACAATAAAGTTTGTGAATTCACCACCATGTGCTTGTTGTGGCAGCAGTGGACAGAAAGCTCAGTATGGTTTGATGATGTTGGCATATCAGTGTTTCACAGCTGTGTTGTTGTTGATCTATGGCAGTCTCTTTCTGAGTGGCATCTATTATTGCCTGAGCGTGTTTTGGTGTGCCGTTGTGAGAATGTCGGAGCTTGAATTAGAGCAATGAGTGAACATGAAATTTCTTGTTAAAGTTGGTGAGAGTGGAAGCGAAATCAGAGAGATGTTAGTGCAAGTTTACAGGGATTTTTTTTTATTGCTAGTGGGGTGGGACTAAGTCCCTTGTACTGTGGCCACTTCTGGCCTATTGTATCAGCCCCAGATGATAGGTGAGGGTTATTGTGGAGCAATTGGTGGAATGAAGATTGGCAGGGGAAACCGAAGTACTCGGAGAAAACCTGCTCCAGCGCCACTTTGTCCACCACAAATCCCACCTGACCAGACCCAGGATCGAACCCAGGCCGCCGTGGTGGGAAGCCAGCGACTAACTGCTTCAGCTACAGAGCGGCCTAGTTTACAGGGATAATGCTATGAAAAAAACAGTATTTTACAAGTGGGTGACACGTTTTTCTGAGGGAGGAGGAAGTGTCACTGACCAAAAGAGATTGGGAAGGAAAGGAATGGGAAGAACTGAAGAAAACGTTGCAAAAGTTTGTCAAATTGTGCATGAAAATTGTTGGTTGACTGTAAAGAGCATAACAGAGCAAGCAAACATCAACAGAGAAACTGTTGAAGATCTTGACAATGAGGAAGGTGTATGCAAAATATGGTACCAAAAGAAGCTCACCAAAGAACATCGTCTGTGAGGGAGTGTGCTGAACACCCTGCCTATTCACTGGATCTAGCCCACAATGACTTTTTGTGTTCCTTAAGATAAAGGATATATTGAAAGGAAGGCATTTTGATGACATCAAGAGTAATACGAAGGCAGATATGAAGGCCATTCTACAAAACCAGTTCCAAAATTGTTTTGAACAGTGGACTAGGCGGTGGCATCAGTGCATAGCTTCACAAGGGGAGTACTCTGAAGGCGACCACAATGATATTCAGCAATGATGTATGTAGCACTTTTACTGTGATGAGTTCGTGAACTTTATTGTACAATCACGTATATATACAGGATCAATATATTTCTAATGCTTTGTAATAACAGTTATGCTAAAATGTCTCTGTATTTCAGTGGGATGCTTTATTTTTGTTCAATTCTAAGTGGGAGAAAAGTTTCATATAATGTGGTCCTAATGCATGTCTTGAAAGAAGCAAAGTTTTTCTTAAGAGTCAAAGCCCCATGCCATAAAGACATGTAGAACTGTGGGGGTAGGGTCATAGACATGTTTAACCTTAGCATTAGATGGAGATGAGAGCCTACAGCAATGGGGTATGGGCTGGACAGCTGGGGCTCAATTCTGGACTGGGGCAAGAGATTGTTCTCTTCTCTGCAGCATCCAGACTGGCTCTGGAGCCCACCAGCCACTGGGTGCCAAGGACTATTTCCCTGGGTGCAAAGCAGCCAGGGCGTGAAGCTGACCACTCATCACCAACTAGTGCTGAGGTCAAGAATACATGGATCTATACATCCACTCTCCCATATTTCTTCATGGAGTAGTGTTTAATTAGTTAACCACAGGGACTTTAGCTTAATCCACATTTAACTCTATAATTAAGCTTTACAATTTAATTGGGTTTTGCAACATATTAAATAACAATGAAAACACGTGGTGACTTCTCAGAATTCTACACTTACTTTCCTTATGGAGTCACGTGGTTTTACATCTGTATTTTACTATCATATGCAGCTTTCTTAAAGTTTTTATATTCGAGGGTAATGTGTTTTAAACCCAGGACTAATATGCATTTTAAACAATTACAGTGTGGTAGCGTTTTACGTGAATTTGAAATATTGCATTATAAAGAATATTAACAAATTCTCATTTTATGTGCAAAGTTTGAAATAATGGGAATAAAAAAAAAAAGGCAAGAATCGCTTGTCTTCAAATATGCGACATTTTCAGGAACGCATCCTCACATAAAATGTGACAATGTACCATGAAACAGACTGTATTTGTTATGAAGTTTTAATGCTATATGGTCTTCCACTGATATCACTGAATAGTACTGGAAGCAAAGATATGATAATCAGTAAAGCATTTCATTTGTAGGAAACACTACCATTGGATACTCATGTCATTCATTAGAGTCATTAAGGGAAGGTATTAACCCCTAATAAAGCCATATCATTGCTGGCTACTGAAAGCTTCCCCCACATGTATTTCAGCAGTGCAGAATATCCTCGAGAAATTATGTGTACTACTGTTCCTGTAACATCTAAGGACATATGTGGCATTAATTTTCCTCTTTCGTAAAACTTCTCACATTCCAGAAACAAACATTTTACGAATATTCACACAGTTTGTAATATTCCCTTTTTAACGCATCATTTAAAATATTTTTAAAATTATCCTAACTTGAAACGATGGTAAACCAACAATCAACTCCAATTAGGTTTATTTCCAGAATTTAGTCATTGAGCAAGCTGGCTCAAGCAGTAATGCTTCTGACATGTATTTTGGAAGTGTTGACTCAAATCTTGGCTGGCCTCTGACTATCCTGAATGCAATTTTTGAGACTTCCCTCCAGGCAGATGCCAAGATAGCACTCCAATTAGGCCATTACTACAGCTTTCCTCATAATTTCCTATACTGCCATCATTAATAACAGCATAAATGAATAAAATTACCTTATGTTCCAGATCTTTGACTTCCAGCTTACTCCTGAAGAAATGATACAACTAAACAGATTGGACCGTGGGGAGAATGGCAGAATCATAAACTTTCTCTTCTGGAAAGGGTAAGCCTGCTGTTTAGAGTTACTTTCTATATAGAAAGATTCAAACATACATATTCTGATTTCACTCGGATTTTTTAATTAAACTAAATGCTCTATTTGTTCACAGGGTGGAAAAGCATCCAGAATATCCATTTAAGCTATGAGAAGCAACATAAATTTGACATTACAGGGAAGCAATTTATAGTATTATAAATGATGAACACAATTTCAGGGAGAGAATAAATTGCTAGTCAGGTGTATCTTAGGAAGTCCTTGCTTCTTCTTATATTTCAAAGGATGGAGCACAAATTTACAATGGCCTGCAATCAATTACGAGTTGTACTTACAGCATATTTCTTCAGTGTGTTCCTTATTATAGATGCAAAGTACTCAATATAATATGGACAGTGATGACCTGAATTTTTATATATTTATACAAGGTACATAAGGATGTCACTGTCATCATTTTCTCTTCCATACACATTGAAAGAGACTGTCTGTAAAGCATATTTTTGGATTACATTGAGTTTGTCTACCATTCGGAAAGTCTGGATGAGGAAAATGGTCATCTGTGATAATATTTAGAGGTCTGTGTTATCATAAAAATATTAAAATGTCAGTTTACAATAAAAATTCTATACAAATTTATATCACCTTTATGTTAAATAATTTGGCTAACTGTAGCAAAGAAAAGGAGCGAATTGTTCATACATAACTCTGCTTGGAGAATTATTTTTCAATGGTCATCGTCTATAATTTTATGTCCAATTTTTGAGGAATACTTTAACAAATTTTATCATATAATTTACCAACAGACCTAAGAATAGCTTTATACTTATTTAATGGCTCCAATATTTCTCAAATTAAGTATTATATGTACCAGACAAATTGTGGAATGAACATCAAGCAAAATGCATAAACTCTGACAAAAAGATAACAGCTCCATCATTGAAGTTCTAAATGCTGCTGCATAGACTGACCAAACTGAGTCTCCAAATCAAAGGCATTGTATATGATCTCTTCAGACTTCCATCGTGAATGTAAAATTCACATACATTTATGAAGTGTTTATCCTAACTGTACAGGGACTACCCATTACATATCATACATTGTCCTCACTGTAGCCCCTTCTCTCACAGCAGTCCCTTCCCCCACCTGCTTTCTTTTGCTTTAGACATAGAATGATGACCAAGAGCATACCATGATCCTCATGCTTGATCTTCTGGTCATTTTTCAGAATTAAAGAAATCTGATGACTCCTCACTGTCTTATCAAGGAGTCACAATATGGGTCTGACAGAGAGCCATGAAAAATAATGCTTTATGTGTTTGCAAATAAATGAGTACTATGAATCCCATTAATTTCCTAGAGTGCCACACAACTTATGTATTGTGATAGTGCTGTGATATTTTGATAAAACTTGAAGCCAACCATGAAATAAGAGTGTATGAACAGAATGTGACAACATATTATGATTTTTATGTTGGTGATCTGGTACTGAGTGAGTATTATCAATCAGTTGATAAATATATCTTCCCAAAGTATGAATTTTAAGAGACAAATGACTGCTGAAGTTCCAACTGGTACTATGAAAATATTATCAACACAAGTAACATGTTTTGAGATGTAATAGTTGACTTTCTCAACTTGTCACCTGTACCGATATTTACAGATCTGTAACCTGAATTTAATAAAAAAAGGATTCCTCAGCTCTATCCTACATGTACATGACAAGAATCTGGGATCTTGGAAGTTTTAAATTCAAAGGACATAACTGGAAAATTAGTAAGTTATGCTCTATGAAAGTAGACCACTGCCATAAAAAAAAAGTAAAGCTATCCCCGTAACAGACCGTGGAGGCCCATATGGTTGTGAGACGTTGAGGGTCCCACATTATCTAGACAATCGGCTCATAGATGGCAGTAACGTCAGCCTTACACACTGGCCGCGCTTTACTCCCCAGGAAAATTATTTAATTAATTCTGCTACTCATTTCTGTTAGAGGCTGAGTCGATCCCAGGGCCATAGTGCGGCTGGAAGGATTAAGTCAATTGATAAAAATCCAATCACCTCATTGGGATGTGAACCCGCGACCTTCTGGCTTGTAGCATAGTGCCTCAACCAACTATGCTACCTCATGCCCCAGACGATTGACCTATGTTATGTAATGCATGTGTGTGAATTAGTTTTGAAGACCCTATTATTCAGGTAAATGAAAGTATACCTATAACATAAAAAAACAATATCCCTGGCCCCCTGGTAGAGCAATGGTCAATATTTTATAATAGATGGTATCTATGTATATTAACAAGTTGGTTCAATACTAAGACAGAATCACATAGTGCTACAGTAATACCCGCAATAAATTAATCCTAACACTGCTGTTTTCTTTTACTGTTAAGTAATTGTTTTGTAGATAGAGGGTATATACCAAGGTCTGAAAGTGTCATCACTCATCAGGCTGTTTGAAGTTTCCAAGTCAACTTTTGCCTACCCTAGTCTATATGTAAAACACCATATGAATTACTTCATTACTTGTGGTGTGCAGACTAAAGTCTTATGCCACAATTAAAATTGATTCTGTAATACAAAATACAAATTATTATTAATCTGTACCTTATTTATAGTATTGGCTAGCACGCTACGTATCAGTTCAGTTCGAGGTCAGCATCAAAGAATGCACTTGAAAATGATCAACTTCATTAGGCCCATTGCACCTACGAAACAATGTAGAATACTGAAAGCTGACCTCTTCTGTTCTTTGAAGAAACAATACAATTCACATCCTGAACAGTAACTGGTCCATCGCTTCTGACGAATTGTCAACCATGTGGAAATTTGTTTGGGAACTCGTATAATAATCACATCTTGTGAAAACCATCACAATGTTATACAATATACTTCCACTCATTGCAAATCCCTGTAATTTTTTAATAGTTCTTAGAATATCATGCACCCTTAAGGTAATTTCCCACAATAGAGGAAAAGAACAAAACATTTTCTGGTACCTAAACCATATAAACTAGTAATTCCATTAGTCTGAGGCTCCCTTGATGAGAACAGAAATGTCTGAGCCCTCCAAACCTTTAAAAATGATTTAAATTGTCACTTAGGAATTTAATATAGAGGATGAGCCTTAATTACATACTTGAAATATAAGTACTGTGTTCTACAATTTCAGGAAAGGAAAAATTGTCATATAAATACATGGTTGCTGCCACTCTGTTAGTGATATATGGCAACAGGATGCACAAAGAAAAACATGAAAATAACATAGTTGTGGATAAAGAGTTTATTAGCTGTAAGTAGAATGACACCTGGTCAGTTACTGATGGTTTACAAAAGATCTTATTGACATGTGCCCAACATTACAGTCAATACATAAATGAGCCCTGATGTGCCAAGAACTCGTGGTCCAATGAAAGACTTCAGGCTATGCTGCATACTGTTGTCCCAGCCGCTTCAATGGCATTCCACAGCTCACTCTGCACCTCACATTGCTCGCTGTAAATGATGGTCTTCACAAAGTCCCACAAGTTGAAGTTGGCAGGAGTGAGATGGCGTCATCACGGAGCCCACACAACTGGTCCATTTCTTCCTACCTGCTGACTAGGAAAGTGGCTGTTTAAATACCGCATGGCAAAGTGAGAAGAATGGGGAGGAACCGCATCATGTGTACACACTGTCTGCCACATTTCCAGTGGTAGGTCACTGCCAAACCTGTGATCCCAATTTCACCCTGAAGCAAATCTATGAGGAATTAATTCTTTGCTGTTTTGGAAATCTTGTCCATCTTCATCCTGATGCAGAGACATTTCCATGAACTATAAATAAATAAAACAAGAGAAAATGTAAATGTAAATAAAAAATGCACCATTACACAAGTTATCTGTAACAGTATATATGAACTCTCATATCTGCCTCTGTACCTACTGCAATGGTTGTGACATCAGATGGCCCCTTCGCTCAAGTGTCTTCATAACTTTGTCCAGATCCTGATTCTTATTGCCAGGATATATGGCGATCATCATATGTCATAACCAAGCTTTACTATATGATAATTTATGTACACTTTAATGCTATCATTGCACTATACTGGTTGCAAAGGCAGCAGTCTTATGGACGTACTATGTTAAATTGTGCTCGTGCAACGAAGGTCTAATTCAAGTTTCATTCAACGTAGTTATGGAATGTCCACTTTATGCCAATCTATTATTTTCTATGAATGAACAACATAAGCAGTAGAAAATGTTATTTATTTCACAATTTTTGTTAACCAGTGAAGTGGTTCTTTTCCAAGTTCTTATATCTCCCGCAATGGCACACTAAGTTCCCCCGACATTTAAATCTGTCAATGCAGCATCTCAATCATGTGTCATTATAAAATTATGGTACAAAAAGGCTCTGAAATACCAATTAGCAGACTTCACATACCCGTATTTTCTTTTCTATTGCCTTACATTAAAGTTTATATATATATTTTTTTTAGTAAAATTCCATACTTTGGGCTTTATTCTAAAAAATCTGCCACTGTAACCATTGAAAACCAATCATCCACGATTACAGGGTATCTCTGATTCAGAAGATGAGCCACTAGTTGTAGAACTACTTTTGAACCATATGGCTCATTTTTTAGGTTCATCAAAAACGGTATCCTCCCCAGTGTAAATAATAAAATTCCATACATAACCAGATTTGGCTTCACACAATTCAAGTGATTTTATTCCAAATCTGGCAGGTTTTGAAGGAATGTACACCTTCCACAAAAAAACGTCCCTTCCATATCATCAAAGACTCATCTACTGATACATCACATTCTGAGGTATATACACTCCTAAATTTGGCATTTAGATGATCCAGTATGGGTTTGAATTTATGCAGTCTTTTGGAACCGCAAGTGGCCTCATCGTAACTTTCGTTGTCAACAAAATGAAGAAACCTGAGTAGATGTTGAAACCTCCTCTCGCTGAACAGCTCCAAAAGAATGGGTGTGTCCAGAATTTTCCTCCAGCTAAAACAGCTCCTGTTATCTAGTTTCTGGTGAAGTCCTTGTACCAGAAAGAATGCCAGCAACTTCATTATTTAAACTGTTTGTCTTCTTCCAGCAATGGATCCTAGATTTTAGGTTTAGATTAGGTGTGTTTTCTAAAAATTTTGGGGCCTACCGATTTGTTTCTCTATTACTTCCACAGTGACTGTTGTGAAGAACAACTCAAAATATTCAAGGGGGCTACTGGGGTCTTCTAAATCAACATTAATGCCAGGCTTGCCAGTAAATGGAAAACGTGGTTGCTCAGCACCTGAATTTGCAATATGACTGGAGGAACCCTTTCATTATTCAAATACTGTTTTGTTCCATAACATAAGCAATATGTATGACGCCTACTAAATCATTCAACAATTGAAACATGGGCAAATTTTCCTGTGGATTTTATCATATGTAGAAAGAGATGAGAAACAACGAAAATATTGTGAAAAAGAGGTACTGTTTTTTTTTTTGTGGGTTATTTTATGACGCTATCTGTGGATGACTATGGAGCTTCACATGACTGAATGAAGAACGAACTATTATGCATTTCGAAGGAGGCGGTCGTGAACTAATCAAGGTACCATCCCGGCATTTGACCGGCTAGACTCTGTAGTCAAGATCGTCAGGATGGACAGGTCAAGATTCGTAAAACGCACTTCCCGAATAAGAGGCCTGAGCGTTACGCCAACCCACTCTGTACATAACATTCATAAGTGTGGCCCATGCTCTAGTTCATATTTACACATGCACAGACTACAAATACGATCAGATACACAAGGTTTTGGGGAAAAATGAAACACGTCTTCTCTCACATTGGTAGCACATCTCAAAAGATCTTAGCTGACTAACACTGCCACGCATACTCACGACCCTCACGACAGAGTACAGAAATAAATGCTCCGAAAACAACGTGCAGAGCAACCTCAATAAACACATCTTAATACTCCGCCTGGGCAAAAGCCGCCAAGTGACTAAATTAGCCACATCACATCACTACTATGTTACCTATGCACGTTAAGCGTTACCTTACATCCACGCCATCAATGGACGTTACCACAGCAACCGACGCCAACTTCGAATTTAATGAAGTCAAATTTCGATTCTTCCGGTGATGCCCGCCATAACTATCTCTTACGATATAGACGCGTAACCTACGAGAAACGTACTCCATCCATCTTCAGTGTCGAGCGGTGTCTTGGAATAGTTAGCACTTGGCCAGTAAAACAAGCATCAATTACTACTGAGTACAATTCACTTTTAAGACGTTTAAAACTTCCTTACTTCCTTACTGCTTTTTCTGTACCTATCATAGCCACCGCCGTCTCGATTGGTCAAAACATTTGTTTACAAATTGTTGGCAATATGTGTCAGCCTGCATTAAGTTGAGTTCCTATAGTACCTACTAAGGGGAAATTTATGATTGGTATCTCCAGTCTGTCAAGAAACATTTCTCTTCGCACTTCAAAGGAAGAATTTCTAATACTGTGCATAAAAACACAGAGGAGTTAACAGAATGTGTGAAGAATTTTCAGGCAGGTCCTGGATGGAATTCTGCAAGTCAGTTTGCTGAACACTGAACGATTTTGCTGACTTCTCTTTCTCTCTTTCTTCTTCTTATGCAAAAAAATTAATGTAGGAAGTACAGCTGCATTCAGAAGTTTCATAACTACCGATATAAAAAAATCTAGCAGCAAACTGTTAAATTGGCAGCACTTTATGATGGAAACAGTCTGGTCTTCAAACAAGAAAATAAAATTGGGATTTCAGGTTCTCACACTGGTAGCTATCAAGAACGCTAATAAGACGGTAATTATACCGTTTACTAGGAAGAGAAATATAAAGGGCCTTAAGGAACTGACTCTCTTCAGTACGACAATCCAGCTCTCCAGCGGTCAGGTACCTTGGTCCAGAATTAGACAAGGGACTGACATGGAAAAAGCAGCTGGACAAGGTCATTACTAAAGCCTATAAGGCTTTTTGGACATGCAGAAGCATGTTTGGTAAAACATGGGGACTGCAACCACATGTGCATTGGATATATACTGCGGTTGTGAGACCCATAATTACTTATGGCGCCACAGTGTGGTGGCCCAGAGTCGAACTCAAGACAAGCAAGACAGAACTTAGCAAATTGCAAAGTTTGGCTTGCTTAGGTATTACAAGAGCAATTTGAACATCTCCAACAGCTGCACTAGAGACACTCCTTGGACTCTCCCACTGCATCTACAGTTGGAGGCAGAGGCCAGGGCAGGAATCTACCGTCTCCAGTGCAGTGATCAATGGAAACCTAGATCCGATAGTTTCGGACATGCATACATAACTCAGGGCATGAAAAATGAACCCATATTACAAATGGGGTCAGACAAAATGATACTGAGACATGTATATGAAAAACCTTTCATGGTCAAATTTCCTGACAGGAGTGAATGGGAAGACGGGTTTCGGCCTGATAGAAAAGGGGGACTGATCTGGTATACAGATGGTTCCAAGATAAATAAAGGCACTGGAGCTGGTGTGTACTGCTATGGCATGAGACGGAAACTTAGTTTTAGCCTTGGGCAATACACAACAGTATTTCAGGCAGAAGTATATGCCATTAAGGCATGTATTATGGAGAATTTAGATAGGAACAACTACATTCTATCTGACAGCCAAGCCACACTTAAAGTGCTTGACAAACACCAGATCAATTCAAAATTGGTCTGGGATTGCCACCAAACCCTCATGGAACTGGCCAAACATAACAGGGTACTACTGCTATGGGTACCGAGGCACGAAGGTATTGCTGGCAATGAAACAGCAGACCAATTAGCTAAGACTGGAGCTGAACATCCTTTCATAGGACCTGAACCAGCCTGTGGCATCCCTATAGGAGTTGCCAAACAGGCAATCAGGGACTGGACTAACATAACACAAATACTGGGGATCCTTAATTGGACTCAGGCAGGTGAAGGGACTCATATGAGGACCTTCCATTAAAAGAGCAAAGGAACTGTTGAAACTAAACAGGAACCAGCTACGATGGGTGGTAGGACTACTTACAGGACACTGCCACCTCAAAGGACACCTATTCAAACTGGGACTAAGTGATAGTCCCACTTGTGAAAGGTGTCAGGAAGAAAACGAAACAGCCACACGTATCCTGTGTGAATGTGACGCATTAGCTTATTTAAGACTATGTCACTTGGGTCAATACTTTATGGAACCAAGTGACTATTTTGATGTCCCCGCATTCAAAATCCTATGCTTCATCCGAAGCACGGCATTGCTGAAGGGATAATTAAAAAAAGAGGGGAAGCACAATAGACCACTGTAGGTTGCGGTGCAAGGGCCGAGAAGGCCTACCCCTCATACATTCATTCAAGAACGCTATCTTATGGATATACCAGTGATATGTTCCTTTGAAACATCTGTACACTGGGCTACACAGTGCTATATCTCAGAAGGCAGAACTCTTCCAAGTAAATAATACTCTATCTCAGTTAGGTTATGAACGGGTAACGTTCCCACCTCATGACCGAAGTTACGCGGGTTGAAACCCGGCGGAGGGCGTGGAATTTTTAAGGGCGGAAAAATTCAGGGAACAAGTCCTCCAGGAGGGACTTTAAGCCATGGGTCCCGTGTTGTAGATTTACAGCATGTAAAAGAACCTCATGTCTCTAGGAGACGTCTGAGCTAAATTTGGCCAAAAAGTTTCCCACCCAAAGTACTTTCCAATGCCTCCGGTAGATGGGGAAGTATTAGGTACCACTGCCAGAGGAGGGGCAACCTCTCTGACAGAAAGGGACTAACTATTAGATACCACTGCCAGTAGAGGTTCGGAACCTTGCTGGTAGAAAGGGGCTGATAGTGAGCACCAGTACCGGTAGGGTATGGAGACAGTAGAAATTAAAGGAGGATGCACAATGGACCAGTAACTGGTCTAAGTGCATGGGGAAACCCACCCCCTCAATACTGAATAGGTTATGAACGAGGCTTGTGGCAAAACAGAGGTACATGCTGAAGACAGGTTTTAATGTGCTGCTGATCTCAGAACAGAAAAATCAGTTGATATTGAAAAATGTTAAGAATGTGCCATTTCCCTCATAATGAGTTAAATCTGGAGTGCAACATTAATCTGGTTTTGGATAATATGAACTGTGGTCTGAGCTCAGAAATTTGTATGGGCATTAAGACCTTACAAGACAGGCAAACGTCTGTTACATCGCTGTTGTGGGAGCCTCCCACAGTGAAGCAAGCACTACCCAATCGGCATGCAGGACAGCTCCAACACCCATTGGTTTGTGCACTGCCTAGTGACAAAAGTACAAAGATGTGGACCTCTGACACACTAGCTACAATTGGATGCTACACTTACATCATGATAGCAGAACAAGAGCGAGTCTCCTAGGATCGACACTGTCAGCTGACTATACATGTCAACAGTGAGTTTCCTGGGAGCAACACTAGCAGCCAACTCCACTAGGGGCCACCTGAACCCACAGCCCAACAGCTTGTTCACAGGCACTCAGCTGCTGTGCAAAGGATTGCCGATGCTAGCAATGACTAGCCTGCTGTGGCAGAAGTGTTGGCCAGCAATCAGGTGCACCCAGTTTCAGACAAGGAGTTTCATCAATACTATCGTGCATGCTCTGCTTCCCTGCACATCTGTATATTTATTTTAAATGCAATGAATATTTGTTTCAGAAGTTTATGTGGTACTCTCTCCATGCTACCAGATTTAACATCCCACACTATAATCAAAACAAAACAATGCAGAAAAAATTGCAGGGAAACAAATTTCTTCAAACTTATCATCACAAAATCAGAATTGGAACACGGCTTATCTACTTTGAAACATGTGGAGATATACTTGAGGAACTGTAAGTGCAGAATGAGCTTTCAATAAGAATTCTCAATAAATAATAAACTAGTGTAATCCATCTCTAACTTCAAAACCAAAGGTCAAAGAATTTTCAAAGTAGAAGAACAGATGCACAAAATTCTTTTACAGGTGTCATCATATACAGAGAAGAAAAATATTTTTACATAAAAGGTCACAAGTTAATTATGCTTTTAAACCAATGATCATTTGTTTATCTTTTCATCATAAAACTAACTAAATACTGTCTTATTGCACTGGGAGCATGCATCCATATGCATACAATGTATAGACACCAACAATATTTTCTACCAAGATCCTCATCAACAGAAAACCATTATAGCTGCAACTGCTTAAGTCTTAATCTGAACTCCACTATATATATATATATATACTAAACGTTCAAGCTGCTACAGGTAGCAAAGACAAGAAGCTGGAATGGGTGAAGGTGTATTCTGAACCACAACTTTGCAAAAGGGTCTGAATTAAGTAGTAGTATTTTTGGAAAACATGTACTACATCAATCATTAGGTGATTTGTACACAATCATTCCTATAGCCAACAGGTTTACACAGCTCTCAAGAGACAATTTCACAGCATTATGTTTAGTCTGAAATAAATCCACAACAGTGTCTTCTTTAACACTGGGAGGAAATGAAGACAAGGCTGATAAAGATGTGATATCTTGAAGTAACAAATTTCCATCATTGTTAAACACTTCTATCCATCTCCCACATCCATCATGCACCATCTTCACGGAAACAAGACCACAACAACAGGCCTCTCTGTTTAGCTTCCATGCATGGCCAAACACTGTGTCTGCTGTCAACTGAGAGGAACCTGCTGTAGTGAAACCTGCAGCTGACAGAAGAGCTATCTGCAGCCATGATACACATGATTCTAATTGACTCCTACTGCAGTTGTATTTGTCAAAATCATTCACTGCCTGAAATGAGAAAACTATGAATCAGATTACTTGTTTCAAACATAACAAAGTGAAACATCAATGTAAAGCCAGAATAGGGACAGTGGAAAAATGGAACAACTCTTTCCAGTTCATACATTTTATTTATATTTAATGTCATAAGTTTGTAGCAAAAATGTAATATGAAGAACCTGTAATGCTATGTAGTAATACCTTTACCAAATTCCAGAGGAACTTGGTGTCTCCATCTTAGAAGAGAAAAGGTTTGCTCTTCTACACTGGAGATGATGAAAGTACATTCCCCTGAAACGTCAGTAAAGATCTACCAGACTAAGCAGCATTAAATCCCAGAATATGGTAATCTTCATAATCAATGCCCCAAGGACCTTAGCTCTCACATACACAGCTCCAGTTTCCAAAACATGAAAGTGGGTTGAAATAATTCATAAAACATCATTCAGAATTACTGGGTTTTTTTAACTCAGTGAACATAATCCTGAGCTACTTCACCCATATCCCAGCCTCACAACTTATCTCCCTAAAATCCACCTTAATATTAATCTTCTCATCTTCTTAGACTACCAAGGTCTCCACAACAAACTGTATAAAATTACTGTTTGCTTCTCAGGGCTATATATCAGGTCAATTGCATCCTCCTGCATTTCGCTACTCTTAACAATAGCAGGTGACCACAGAGTTCCTTATTATGGAACTGTGGAATATCCTAAACCGCCCATTTACTTCAATTCTCTTAGTTTCAAGTACTTTCCTAAGAACTCTGCTTCCAATACTTAAAATCTATGTTCTTTCAAAGTACCAAGATCATGATTCATGATAACATAAAACATATGGAATAAGTACTGTTTTATAATTATACTGACCACTATTCTTTCAGAAAGCAAATGAAATGGTACCACCTTTTCCCCAAACTTCCAGCATGAACCTCATTATGGTTCAACAAAGCTAAAAAAAAAAAGTAGTTGTCCCTGTGCTTAACTAATTAAGCATTACACCATGAAGAAGTATGGGGAAGTGGATGTATAGATCCATATATCTTGCCCTTGGCACTAGTTGGAGGTCAGAAGTCTGCTTACATGCCCTGGCCACTTTACCCCCACTAAAAGAGCCACCTGTACCCATTGGATAGGAGGCTGGGTGGGCCCCAGAACGGGTATGGACAATGTGCAGAGAAAAAAAATCTTGCCCCTACCAGGACTCAAACTCAAACCCTTAACCGTCCAGCCCATAGACAGTTGCTATAATGATTGTGCTATCCCAGCTCCCATCATTCAACAATGTACTTAAGACATTACTGTTTCGTGATTTATGACACTAAGAACATTTATTATGAGTACAATCGCCAGAGCAGTTCATAACTACCAGATCTTGCAGTCTTATGACAAGGGACATCTCTGTACATCCTGCACCAGGCACCACAGCTGGATATATCGTCAAACAGCGCAGAGCACTCAGGGATTGCTTGATTACAACCTAAAGCACATAAACCAGTCAGATCTCCATTTTGTTATTAGCACTCATAAATTGGATGAACTTAATACAATTTAATTTCAAAATCTCTATACTTTGTTAGATTTGTTACATTTCTGTAATATACAAGGTGTCAGAAAGTGTTCCTGGAACCATTAAAGCCTAAGTTGGATTACACTGGATAAATCCTCAAGTTTTTAGTTGTGGTTTTCTGGGTATTCTTGAATTATAAAGAGCAGGCATGACAGGCATAGGTTAACTTCCAATCCCCCTTGCCTACTCATGTGATGACTATGTCAGATAGTTAAAACTGAAAAAATGTGGGTGATCAATTGCTTCTAGAGCTGGAAATTATTTTTTTCTTCTGTATATTACACTATATGTTACATAAATGAAAAGTTTCAGAATAATTAGATTTACTACTTGCTTTAAATACACTATATTTACACCTGAAACAGTGATTAGATGACAGACTAAAGTAATTAATATCTTATGATTTAAAATAATACATTTATAGTCATATATTGTTCAAGCAAATATATATACACATATATACTAGTTTCTCACCTTCAGCTCCATGGCAGCCTCTTCATTTGGTGCATGAGCAACAAGAGTTGCGATGTTGCTACCAGACTTCTCCAATAATACATAGTACTTCTGTCCATGTTCAACCATCTTTAGTGTCTCTACAGTACCAAGTAATGAACGCAGCCCACCTGGATCCTGTGAACAGTGCTTAATACTGGAAATGGGTGTTGCTCCTGATAACTTTTCAACAGCATGTGTTAAGTCAGTGCCCATACGATCCAGTAACAATATTCCTTTCCTCTGCAGATAAAGACAGATGGTAGGATGGACCACTTTCTGACAAGCCACAACATCAATATTCAGCTCTACAATTTGTTCGAACAGCTTCATTGCCTCTTCCACAAAAGAATTAGAACTTTTACGGTCTTCCAATTTAATGCTCCTACTTTCTGAGACCTTTGAAGTCTCTTCACCTGTTAGCATGATGTTAAATAACAGCAAAGATATGCAGCCCTTTTTGTTACATTTCTCATACAAGACTGTTGATATGTCATCATAATTTATATGATAAAGAATCCCTAGAAATACATCACTCTTCATCTCAGTTGCTTCAATGCATTCCACAATAACATCTCCAAATGTTTCGTTAGTTGTCTGAAGAAATCCCTTCACAATGCTCAGGTGCAAATTCTGAATGTCAGCTTTTGATAATCCACATGTAGGTTTGGTTGACAGAATAGATTTTACCACAGATAAAAGCTGCTTAACTGTGCTGAAATCTGCTTTCAGTTTTATGCAGTTCAGATCAAATAAGCTTAACAGTATGGAACTCAAGTGTTCTATTATGCTAGCTACTGCAGGTACAGAGAGTCCAATATTATGTGATAAAATCTTTTCTAATAGAGACGTAATTAAAATACCTGTATACAGTCCATGATCAAGAAAAGCATTTATTTGTGACTGTATTATTTGTTTTATGAACACGCATACTGGGTTTGACAGTGTAATATTATTCAGTAATCTAGATGAAGAAGAAGTGAAGGTTGTGTAACCAGCTCCTGAGATAACAATTTTGATTCCACCTTCTGGTCCCACACATGACAGCAACACTCTGCGGAATGAACGGAGTGCAGAGACAAATTCAGAACTGTCTAAGGGTTGTAGAACTACAGAGACCTTGTTGGATGCCATGTTCTTCAACTGCTGGTCCTGTAAAGGGAATATAGCTGTTGAACATGAATCCGAAGGACATCTGGCCACAGGAAGTAACACCCTTTTAATAACTATAAAATCCCTTATAGATTCTAAGGTACCAATATAGGGGCATGAAGGGGCTCGGAACTGTGCATCTCTATTACCTTCTTAGTATTATGACACACTACACATGGAACAAATGAAAGAGATGTGTTGCAAAATTTTTAGAAACTTACTATAACTATAGGGAGGCATGTGGTAGCATAGCTGGTTGAAGCACTATGCAACAGACCAGGTCATTGGTTCGATTCCTGATGTCACTGGATTTTTCTACTGACAAAATCCTTCCAGCCACACTATAGACCTGGGGTTGTCTCAGCCTCTAACAGAAATGAGTAACAGGAATCATCCTGGGGTATAAAGTGGCAGGCGTATAGGGCTCAGGACCTCACCGCCATCTGTGAGCCAAATGTCTAGAATATGTGGGAGCCGTAACATCTCAGAACCCTATGTCCCACCACAGTATGTTACAGGGATATGTTACCTTTGCCTAGAACTATAGGTAAATCTCTTTTTTATTTTTAACTAAAACTTCAACGCCATGCAGTTTATACCACCTCCAAAATGTATCATTACTGGAACCATAAAGCTGGAACCATGACAACTGTCACCACATTGAACGAAGAAAAACTCAGAATTTTCCAGACATTGTCAACAAAAAATGTACTCCTTTAGGAAATTATGAATAAACTGAGTTCAATGACTTGTAGTTTATTACAAAACTAATGTTTTTGATCACACTAGATCAAATGTAAACAAACACAGACTGACTCCAGAAATAAATGTGGCATTCAAAATTTTCCTCAATGTACTGTCAGTGACCCAAGGAAAATTCTGAACCTATGTTCCTGTACAGGGAAATGCAGCTCTTGAACCTTGTAAAAAAGAAAAGCACTTTAAGCATGAAAATTTACCATCAAAGAGAGAAGTAATGATTCTGATATGTGTAATAGATGACTGGGAAATTAGGCATAAATATAGTTTGAATAAAAAATATGAAAAACACAAGGATGCAATGTGAAACACAGAATACCAAAAATCAATCTAAAAGGCTGACTGGATGATTTAATGTACTGTTTTAGTTGCAGTTATTACATAAAGTCACAGCACTTTGCCTGGAAGACTAATGAAAACATAGAAAACTCTTTCCATGGCTAGTAATGTGGCTAGGATTCAAACTGCAAGCTTACCAAATATAAGTTGGCATTCCTATTACACCAACCTGGTTGGTACCGCAATGCTGTATATTATATACTACATACATTACTGTCACAGAGACAAAAGCGTGATATATTTCTGAGGATGAATAAGTGACAAAGCATGTCTAACATAAACTCAACGTACTTCACGTGTGTTCACACCACACATATGGGGTGCACAATAAGTATTACATCCCCAAAAAACTATTTTTTTTTCTCAAATCACTAGGGTCAAACAAATTCCATTACTACCTTCCTTGATTCAAACACTGAAGTTCATCATTCCTATAACAGAGTATTTCAAACCGCTTATACAAACCTCTTACCAAGCAAGCCTATATAATTAACTTAATAAACAATTTTCACTTTCCCCCACTCAGACACTGTAACCATATGTCTCAATGCCACTTTTCCTCGACTAGCAGAATGTGCATTCCCATACCTACGTTCCACCATTACAATGTTACTTCCAACTTCTGGCCACCACAGCATGACTCACTGAAAAATGCTTACTGTCAAGTAGCTATCTTCCTCCCAAGCTGGCCTCACAGAACAAAGAGATGGCAAAAGGAGATATGTGCAGATCATCCATCAAGGATGAATACATATCACGTCATCATGGAGATGTGTGCCACAACAGAGAAAGGGACACCCATCACAGAAGGATTCATGCACAAGGATGGCTGTTTCTAAAGTCTCATGGAAATAATTTTAAGAAAAATCTTTTACTATTCAATCTCTATTTTGGATTCAATGTAATTAGATCTTTTGTTGTCAATCCTCAGTAATAACCAAAATACATTACTTAACACATCTGCCATACACACTCCTAAGAGGCTAACCCAACTTACATTACAGTAATTAAATTTTTTAATTATTCTTCTCCAGACGATTTACTTCCTCCTCTGAAAGTCTCCCACTTCTCTTCTAGCACATTTGCCAAGTGCCGAGCACCCTGCAACAAATTAAATTACCAGAATCTGGCTTCTTCTTAGAGGTGATATACCTGCAACATACCTTCTAATATGCCTCATGCCCTATCCCTCACTGAAGTTCACTTATTATTAGTAAACATGATTGATTGATTGATTGATTTATTTAACATCCATAACTGTTACATTATGTACAATTGGACAAGTCAGTTTTATAAAAAAATATATGAGATTAAACATCACATCAAATGACTAATAATATAAAAAACCATAGAAAAATAACATAATAAATCCTTTAAATATGATAAAACAGTGGATGAGTATAATAAGGCAACAAAAGCTAAACTATAAATTACATGCAATATCTAAAATAAATTACCTAAGTATCTTTGTTCTATTATTAAGCTAATTCTTGTAAAAATATTCTTGAAGGGAATAAAAAGCTTTGCACAACAAGTAATCCTTTAATTGACGCTTAAAAACCTTGAACTCTTGAATACTTCTTATTTGAGAGGGCAAGTTATTATACAATCTTATTCCCATGTTAATCACACTCCTTTTACAACGTGAGGTGTTACATGGTTGGACATACAAATTCTGCTTATGTACTGTGTTATAACCGTGCACATCTGAATACGAGATGTTATATATCCTATTTTTCCTTAAAAAACACAACGTCTCAAAGATATACAATGAAGTTAAGGTTAAAATTTTAAATTCACCAAAAAATTCTCTACACGATATCCTGTTATTGACTCTTTTGATCAGTCTTAAACATTTTTTTTGGATTTTAAATACAGTTTGAATGTCCTTTTGACCACAGCCCCAAAAAATAATACCATATCTCAATAAAGATTCAAATTTCGCAAAATACACACTTCTCAAAATTGGAAGACTGACCAAATCTCGTAAGGATTTGATAAGATAGATGGTTTTGTTTAATTTTTGAACTAAATGGTGAGTGTGAGAGGACCAACTTAAATTCTCTGTAACACATATACCTAAAAATTTTAAATTAGCTGTGTATGTTATTTTCTTATTATTCAAATAAAGTTCCGGTTTATCAATTTGACGGGGACCACGTCCCTGAAAAAAGAGTGCTTTTGTCTTTTCAATATTAATAATAAGATGATTTACCGCGAACCAATTTTCTAATTGATGCATAGAAACTATAGTTTTATCACTTAAAGATTTAAGATTTTTGTCAATAATTAGTATATTGGTGTCATCTGCAAATAAAACAACTTTTGCTTCATGAACAGCTTTAGGCAAATCGTTTATAAACATTAAAAACAAAAGAGGTCCCAGAACCAAACCCTGAGGAACACCGTACTTTATTTCCTTACACGAAGAGAATGATTTTTGATTTGGAGACTTGGCATCAACATGGTCAATTTCTACAAACTGGGATCTACCCATAAGATATGATCTCATCAAAGAGAGTGAAATTCCTCTAAACCCATAAAGTTACAATTTAGCCAACAGTAATTTGTGGTTTATCACATCCAAAGCCTTGGAAGCCTTCAATTCTACATACTCATCTAACTTCTTTGAGTTCTGGCTTTATTTAGGGTTACTCCACCTAACAAACTATGGCAATATATTTACCCATACATACCATTAATTACTTACTATTACTTCACCCAAAACATATAATTCTGAATATAAACTGCACATGAAATGTAGACCATAGGGGAAATGGATGGAACAGGCTTTCATTATATAATACCATATGAAATGGTTGAGGCTAGCATGAATAAATGTATGCACAGTCTTGAATTATAATTTTATTACAGTAACTATAATTTCCTTCATGGCACTATTTTGGTCAAATTGTGTCCCACCCATACCCTGCCAAGGTTTAAAACCACCCACTGACACCACTTCCAGATCATAACATATGTTAACACCTTCAGAATCTTATTCATTGTAATGACGGGGAAAATTATTATGCAGTGATTGTTCCTGTAACAGCATATTAAACAAGAAGTTCTGGGAAGAACTAATACAGCACGAGCAGCATGCGAAACGAAAAAAATACTTGGGTATACAGACACACCGGCTGTAAGGCATCTCATATGACTTCCTAACAAAAATTAGGACTGGATACATACACAGAAAGGACAGGCAGGCATTGTAGGATAAAAAAATCTAGGTATTGCGTATGTGTCGATTTCCACGACCATCGAACTGTTACATTTATTAATATTTAATACAGAACTAGCTTGCAGTTGGGTTATCAGCGACTACCTGGTAAGAGAAGTCGTGCCAGTTTCTAAACTACATATAACCGGTACCTGTCATAGTTTACCAATACAGAGAATCAATGGAGGAAACCTACACCTCCGTTACTCGCCTTATATTGACAACCGCTCTTAACGAGGAATACACAAAAGAGAGATGATTTAATGTGTTAGGTTTTTTAAAAACTTACTATAACTATAGGCAAGTCTTTCTTTTCTTCTTTTTTAACTAAAGCTTCGACATCTTGAAGTTTATACCACCCCCAATGCAACAATACTAACGCTGGAACCATAATAATTGTCACCGCATTCCGACTGAAGAAGCCACGAACTTTTGTACACATTGCTTCTCATTTATTACATTTGTGGACGTTCAATTACCAACTTTCAAAACCTAAAGTCTTGTTACGAAACTGTTGTATTTGCCATCACGATAGATCGAATGTGAACAAATTTGGACTGAGTATGAACGTAGTGAACTAACTACGGCATACAAAATTTCCCTCAGTGGAATATCTCTGGACGAAGGTAGAGAGGAGATAGGATTGCGTTTCGTACAGAAGTGTTAAGAATTTAACTATCTTGTTATCAATAAGGGATTAGTGAAGTCTAACGTCAGTCCACACTAATTATTTTAGGCAAATCGCTAAATTACGTTCAGATAAACTGTATAAAAGTTTAATTTAAATAATGCAAACCGCTTCCTCAAAATCATTTTCGGAAATAAGGTTATGTGTAGGCAGGTACATTCATTCCTTAAACCTATTTCCAGGAAAAAAAAAGATATATAATCGTCCAGTCACTTAATGCTGAATATTTCTCCAATAGCCAAATTATATAGTATAGTCAAAATGACTATAGGCTGTGGAACATGACGTATAACTACAACAACATTTAACAGTGCAGCTGAAATTTTCACACAAGAAAACCCAATAAATCTCAGTGATTACACATGAGACTGTTCAAAAATACATTGGTATATATACATTAATACTGTCAACTTAGATTAAAGAAGGGCCGTGCCATAGCTCAAGCAGATAGTCGATGGCTTGCCACCGTGGTGGTCAAGTGAGATTTGTGGTGGACAAAGTGGCGCTGGGGCAGGTTTTCTCCGAGTACTTCGGTTTCCCCTACCAATCTTCATTCCACCAATTGCTCCACAATCACCCTCATCTATCATCTGGGGCTGGTACAATAGGCCAGAAGTGGTCGCAGTACAAGGGACTTAGTCCCATACCACTAACAATAAAAAAAAAAAAAGAATAATAATGTGCACCCATGTGATATTTCAATGGCCCACATTTTGCTCCTAGCATCAGAATATCATTTACAGAGGACATATATGGGTCTGAATCATATACTAAAGCTATAAAAGTAAAGGTGAAAAAGGTAAAGTTAAGCATCACACCATGAAGACACATGAGAGTGTGCAGATTTAACTCCACCATTCTTGACCTCAACACTAGATGGAGATAGTGGTCAGCTTCACACCCCAGCCACTTTACTCCCAGGGAAAAAGCCCCCAATACCCTTCTTATAGGAGAGTGGGTGGGCTCCAGAACTAGTTTAGGCACTGTGGAGAGGAGAAAAATCTCTTGCCCCTGCCAAGAATCGAACCCTGGGTGTCCAGTCTCTAGCACTATAATGACTGAGATATCCCTGCTCAATATCTAAAAATGTCAGAAACAAAAACTGCAGAAATGGTTATTCAAGGAAAGACATTGGCAATGAATGAAAATTGTTATGAATGGTAACAGTATTGAATAAGTATCCAAAATTATATATGTAGGACTTCGACTGCTAAATCATCTGCCACGATATAGTAAAGAAATACCAGTACTATGTAAGTTCAAAAACGCTTTGAAAACTTACCTACTCAAGCATTGTTTTTATAAAGTGGATGAGTTTCTCTCGTGTGAAGCAAACACTAATCAATTATAATCACATAATACACGAATTATTGGTTTTGTGAATCCCTACTGTACAGTTTTCCTTTTTTTTCCCCCCCCCCCAACCAAGATAACGCAGTAGGAGATGTACCTGAATTGGCTATTCTGGAGAGATTGCAGATACCAAGAAGCTGCACCAGGAAGGGAGAACAGATGTAATGAGATGTTGCAGTGTAGAGTCTACAGTGAAACGTTATACCAGTGCTATCACCAAATTCACCAGTATTATCTCAAAGGCCGCACCATAGCTTAAACGGTTAGTCGCTGGCTTCCCACCGCTGCGGTCAAGTCAAGTGGGATTTGTGATGGACAAAGTGGCACTGGGGCAGGTTTTCCCCGAGTACTTCGGTTTCCCCTGCCAATCCTCATTCCATCAAATTCTCCATAAGCGTTGTCACCAGTACAGATACAATAGGACATCTGGAAGCCGACGTGCCGAGGGGACCTAATATGGATTCCACCTCACACTATATTAAATCTTAACTATTGTAATCTACTCTAATCTATTGTAAACAGTTGTAAATATTGTAACTTTGTTCTCTTATTGTAATCAGCCAATGTACACTAACTGACTTGTCCTATATCATGTAACAATGATCTATAGAGACGAAATAAAGAAATAAATAAATAAACTTCTGAGGACAGGTAGGTAGCAAGATCAGTTTTATGACTTCTGAACATCAAAATTGACTTGCAGCAGACAAATTTTCATTTAAAAAAACGAATAGTAAGCAGAAGGTAAATCAATGTTGGGACTAAGTTAAGTTGAAATCATCAAATGGAATATTTCTGGAAGGTGTGTTTGAAGCCAATAACAAAATGTGTAAATTTATGGATCTCAGTGTAATGTAGTTTGAAAGAGAGTGCATGTCATTGTTTTTATAATTCTTGTATATATTCTGAGTATTTTTACATGGGTTCTCAAATCACTGGGCTGTTGGTGAGCCCTATATGTGATTAGATGCCAAAAAGTACAGATTAGAGGAACGGCAGATTCCTTAATATTTGTAATTGAAATTGAAACAGTTATTACATTTAATAAATAATATTCTGAGCACTTTTCTGCTTACCTTATTTTATAAAAATAAGCATTTTCATAGACAGAGAAAAGCAAGCTGAACAATTAACTTGCCTTCTGCTTCTGTAATAAACAGAGTACTCTAAGGCTGTTCAAATTTATATTAATCTTAAAAGTTGGGGTTGAATTCACCATAGTCTATGTAGGTAAATAACATACGTTGATATGTGAAAAAAATAAATTATTATCTCTGATTGCAATTTGACGTTTCAATTGCTAAATTGTATAAGATCACTGCTTTTCATGAAATCAGGCACTCCCAACACTTTCTTTTTGTCATATATTAACATATAATACAGGTCAATATGTAATATTCTTGTAAAATTATATGCTGATTATCATAAACTTAAAATATTTTTTTCATATCTGCTGACTTGGAAAGGTTTGGAACCACTGAATTAGTCTGAAAGTTCTGAGGACAATATTTTTATATACAAGTAAACATTAGATATGTACATAACATATTAAACACAGATTAAGATTTTCTGATCTTTGTTTTCATCCTGGGTATAAAGTATTGCAGAAGGATGCAGGGTGATATGGAAGATCAGATTTACTCTTTTCAACCACATACCTGCTTGCACACCAGGATTTATTTTTCTTGCCTAACTGACACATTATCATCATCATCATCATCATCATCATCACCACTCACATTCTTCATCCTTAACATCTTTCAAAAGCTAATGATTTTGCCAGAGTTGGTGGCAGTGCTTCTCAAAGATTATTATAAAACATTTTATTTATTGGATGGTTGGGCCATCCCCCTCCCTATTTTGGTTAATGTAAAAATCGAACCATGCTGTTCACCGTAGTTCAGTTCAACCCTTTTGCTCCATAAGGCAATGAATTCATACAATGATCATCTCACACACAGATGATAACTGATGGATAATAAACATCCCTCGTCTAAGAATATTATGAAGCTTTAAAAAGTCTTCCAATCAGATTTTTTAGTTAATATCAAGCCTCTTTCAAATTCCATCTCAACAGATATTCACTAAAGCTCCTGTTCAGTCCCCCCCATGAATGACATGTCTACATTAAAACACATAAACGTAATTATTAAGCAAAAAGTTAAAGATATAAATTACAACATTTCAACCACAAATCAGTAGACATTTTAAATATCACAGGCACTGTGACAATATCTTGTGGTCCCTGTTTTATTTTCCCTTAACCCATAGTTGTGAAGGGTCCGGTATATTTCTGTACACTTGCTGGAGGATTTTGAACTTCTGTTACACAAACATATAATATATCACATCTTGTGAAATAAAAACAAGGTAGATTATCCATAATTATATGGTAGGAAGATGATCAAAAGTCTGATTGCCCCTTGGATGACTGAATGAAGTTCGGAAGTCTGGACTTCCAGCATTGCTTGGTAACTGGGGTAGCAGCATGGAGCCATTGCTGTAGCTGGAGTTCTGAAATATGACATAATTATTTATAATGGAGTAAAACATACTTCACTTGCATCATCCTAAGGAAATGTTAAAGTAACAGTAATCATGATCAGAAACAACAAGTAGCAGCCAGGACACAGACTGATCATCTGAAACTGCATTCCTTTGCTCTTCATATTCAAGACAAAAATTCCTACTTACAGACTCCTGGATTATATCGAGAAGTTTATGATAAATTATATGAATATGCCCTTTAAATACTTTCTGCTATAGTAATTAATTAAATAATTTTCCTGGGGAGTATAGCATGGCTGGTGCATAAGGCTCACAAACTTACCACCATCTTTGAGTCGATTGTCTAGATAATGTGGGACCTTCAACGTCTCACAACCCTATGGGCCTTCATGGCCTTTTACAGGGATAGCTTTACTTACTTTTACTTATAGTAACATTCATTTTAACATTATCCTCTCATTTACTCTTAGATTTTGCAAGTGGTTTCTTTCCTTTTGCCTTTCAGGCAATAAATCTGTAAGACATTTTGTTATTCTTGCTACAAGACTTGTTTTGTGGAAGTCGGGGAATTAAAATCTGCAACGCCCATGACAGAATTTGAAACAAGGGCAGATGGGCAGGCACAAACAGTTTGGGACTCTAAAACATATTTATAGTCTGCTGTTTGAAAGGGAGAATAGTTCTGGACAGATTCTCATCTCCCTGTGAATGACTGGAGAAAGGCAGGTTCTGTCTCTTTAAAATAAACCAGCAAAACACCTGATACAACTTGTGACAGTGCTTTCTTTCTGCTTACCCTAGATCTATCCCGTAACTTTCGCAGTTTCTCAAATTCTTCCAATTCTGATTCAGGTATTTTGAAATGGAAATTGTCGAAGTAGGAATGCCTTAGAAGTTGTTCACAAGACCATCTTCGGGCAGGATCCTTGTCAACGCATTTCTGCAACGAAAATAATATATTTCTACGATATCTCTTTGAAGCTTCATGCACAAAAGAAGAAAAACAAGGCAGTATAGAATGCGAAAATAGAAATGGAACAAGTGCCAGACACTTGGTTTTGGGGAGGCAAAGTGCAGGATTTTTTTAAAAGGTTTTCAGTCTTCACTCCCTCGTCTTTTAGATAAATATGAAAGTGAAGATTTTTAAATTACACGAAGCAGTGTCTCGAGACAAGGGCTGTGGAACTTCAAATAATGTTTAAAAATAATTTTTTACCCAAGAGGAAAGACAATGTATCTCCATTAAACAGACAAACTGGTTACTTATGTGTAGTGAAATAAACACTCATTGCTCTGAGAATCATATGAAAACCATAAGTATTTTCTGTTGGTAAAATGAGAACTTCTGAATGTTAAATAAGGCAGTATATGCAGTTCATACTGCCCTTAAAAATTAATAATACAATTTTTACAGTATTATAAATTCACAAATTATATTTCAGGTCTTTCCAGTGTAACTTTCACTGAATAAGAACGTTCTGAAATTTGTCCCACTATATGCAGTGAGCAACATGCCGTCCACAACATGAAGAAGTATTGGGGAGTGGAGGTATACCGCCACCATTCTTGACCTCGGTACTATACTGAGGTGAATGGTCAGCTTCAAGGCCCGGCCGCTTTACCCTCCCCGGGGAAAGAGGCTCCCCTTTGTCCATTGAATAAAAGGATGGGTGGGCCCCTGAGTCAGTTTGGACGCTGTAATGTAGACAAAGATCTCTTGCCTTTGCCGAGGATTGAATCCAATCCGTCCAGCTTGTAGCCCGTCGTTATACCGACTGAGCTATCGCTGCTGCAATGAATTTTCGTTACAGCCTCGCAAGCACAAAATTACTCTGGATGTATGGTTCTACTCAAACCAGTAGAGTCAAAAGTTTCATGTTATGAGGTAGGGCCCACCTTGAGAAAGTCCAAGACGTGGGCGTTGCTTTGTCTGGGTAGCTTGCTCTCCAGGGGTTCCAAGATGTCGGGCTGGGGTAGGGACACGCCGTAGAAAAACTCGTTCGACTTGAATATATTCATATGACGTGGAATGAGATCTCCTGATACAGAGATGGGGGCTTAATGAAGAAAACATGTCCACAAAGACCAAAGAATTGCAAGTGAAAATTCTGTTATATCACGTTATACTGAAACAGCACAACTCGATGTATTGTAAATAAATGTCACATACGGAGATAAATATTATATTTGTTTCATATCAAGTTTTCCTTTCATTTGCTGCTATTTCTTCCACAGATCACTAATTTTATTTTGTTTTCTTTCATGATTCCTCAAAGAAATCTGAGAGAATGCGGGTTCAGCAAAAATTCCCCGACCTTTTTTTTTAATTTGTTTCATGATTTAATTTCTTTCCATCAACTAAATTCTTAATGAACTCACTACAATATGAAAATTTAAGAATATGCATACAACTTAATCATAGATGAGAGTTGTTGAAACTACCATCTTATGAGACTGAAATATATTTGTATACTCGTAGAAATACTGGTTAAGAGTAACTAAATTTTTTTAATTCGCATAGTGGGGGGGGGAGTCCAACTGGGTCCACTCGGCACGGCCCCCACTGATTGGTCTATTGTAACCTGCCTCGGGTGATTATGATGATGGAGAATTTGGTGGAATGAAGATTGGCAGGGGAAACCGAAGTACTCGGAGAAAACCTGCCCCAGTGCCACTCTGTCCACCACAAATCCCATTTGACCAGACCCGGGTTTGAATCCGGGCAGCCGAGGTGGGAAGCCAGCGACTAACCGCTTGAGCTACGGCACGGCCTTAAGAACAGCTAACTTGTTAATCTGTCTGAAGACTCATTGATCTTAAGAGTAATGTAGGATATCATGTCGTAGTCTGGTAAAAATTAAACCAAAATTCTACCAGACTGCATGACGACACATCCTAGACGATAATACTCATCATATACACAGCCTTGAGAACTTCAAATCTCACAAGAATTCATATAAAATGCTTTATATTCTAAATGGTCTGAAGCAATGAAATACTTCATCATCTTTGCTTCTGAACTTCATCTTTAAAATATGAAATCAGCTACGTCAGAAAATGCCTGAAGGAATTTAAACGAACACATAAGATTCTGCTTTATGCTGACTGTATTACACGTATTTCATTAAGCAGAAACACGTGGTCATTAAAATGGCTAAGCATTAGTTTCCTTATGACGTAAGGAAAGCGAAATTGATAACATTACTTTCAACGGAATTATTAAAAAAAAATCTTTGAATTTGTAGGAAGGTTTTCCTAACAGAAACTCGCCGGATAACAATATTAGTCAGCTGATATGCAGTGGTGAGCACTGATAGCAATCATATTACATAGTTGTGAGGTGAATGATACCGACATCCATAAAGATGTTAATGATTAATAATAATAATAAGGTTATAGTAATAGATAATGAAGCACATAGTGATTTAAATTAAAATAAAACCCTTGAAACTGAAAGCAGCCAATGGTGGTTCTTACGGAAACCTTCATCATATCAGCGTATGTCCATTAAATATAACATTTAATACTTCGTTAAATATTAATATAAAGGATAGTTAACTTGTGACAAAGCCATATTCAGTTAATGTTCACCTAGACTTTTCCTGATGAGGTACAGCTGATCCACATCTGACTTCCCAGGCCACAGTGCTTGTCCCTGAATTAGTTCAGCAAACACACAGCCTGGAACAAAGCAGAACACAGATGGGTAACAAACTAAATGATTCCGAAATGTCATTATCTTAGATACTGTTGTGATGCCAGGATGGGTGCGGTCTAGGATACCTGTTCAAGGATATGTCCCTAGGGTAGTGCCCCTTCCCGAATCACAATGAAACATCTTCCTCTTAATTAAGTAAAAAAAAATAACATTTATTAATCCAATAACATAAAATAATAAGTTCAAGCAAATTTAGTCTGCTCGCAATCACTTCGTCTCTGTGCTGAGGGTAACTGGCCAGGCTGGGACAAACAGATCTCTACTTACAGAATACAGCAACCTTCCCGAAGGCGAACATGGTGGTGCTCGGTGAGGGTAGAGGTCTGTTGGTCAACTGGCTCCTTATGTCTGCCGTCTAAGTGTAGCGGTTTCCCCTGGAGGATGGACTGTTTATCTAACGTTAAGCACTTGTTCTGACTACAAGAAGAACTGCTTCCATTTCCGTTATCTAACCCTTAAATACTCTATATTTTCCTCAGGCACATTGTAACAAAGTTTACAATTGGGCCGTCATCATTCTTTATCATCTCTTACTTTCTAAGCTAACAAGTGATTGCTTGAGACCGTACAGACGTCAAGGGATATGTGATTCAGCTCATTATGACATTTGTTCTAAACTTCAACTTTTACATTATTATTCATCGCCGCGACATCCGTCGTTAGCTCTACTGTGTAGGAAGTCAATGTGGTCTGACTTCCAATTTTACTCACACTGTGTTTTTCCCTGTCCACATCCTACATCCTGTGGTCTGGTTACAGTTCATACAATTTGCTTGTACATTCATGCTCTTGATAAATGATTAATATCTATCAATATACAGTTAATACATATTCCTCAATATCCTTATTCCTCTAAGGTAACATTAATATATAGCATATATGGCAGGTGAAGTCTCATAACAATAGTACTTACATTTTCATTGTAATATTTAGATAAGAAAATTTTGCTTTCAGTATCCCCTTTCGAAAAAAAAAATGTTGAGATGAAGCAATGAGTGTTTTACTCTAATGAAATGTAGTTATAACCCCCCAGCTGTAACTTCCCTCCATACAGACTTTTGGATATGGCCCTGAGTAGCTTATAGTATTTTCATGAACTTCAGGACTGGAACAGGAGGAATAGAGTGAAAATCTGACTGTTTCTCCTGTTCCAGGGACATCAGGAAGAGATCAAAACAACTGTTTCTCATCCTAACACGATAACAAGTTCTTGAGCTTTAGTTAGGATGGCGTTATTTCTTGCGGATAAATTCGTAATTTTTATCAAATCTCACAAAAGAGGAGTCAGGATAGGCAAAGTTATAGATTACATGATTAAAAGTACATTTTAGATTTGCGTACTAACCAGCAACAATGAATAGGACGGAAAATACTATGAAACTGAAGTTATGTTGCCTGGAATTTCAGTCAAAATCTTGAGAATCCGTAAATTAACATACTTCAATAATACCTTAAAATTACGGATTTGGCGACATATTTGGTTAGTTAAAAGTGAAAGGTACCTAAGACTATTTGAAAAGTGTTTACTGAACTATTTCAGAATTCGTATTGTATCTTGCGAAGTTAAAATTTTCGCCTTCACCTAAACCACACTCTGTCTCTTATTGCGAATATTTATATTTTGAAGCAGGGTCATGAATAATACATCAGATATTGCTAAAGCGACAGAGCTCTTAGTATGTTTAAGTGTCAAGAAAACACAAGTTATGCAACCTCTTTAGTAATTTCCTTTCTTCCTACACATGTCAATTGATGTAATGTGCATAATTTTTTATATCCATGATCTCTGCGAATTTTTTATAGATTATTTTCGTTTTTATCTCTATATATCTGCACATTACGCTGAATTTCTTTCATACTAGACTCTAATTCCTGAACTGTCCTGAAACATAAATTTTTATATCCGTGATCTCTGCGAAATTTATTTATGGATTATTTTCCTCTTTATGTCTGTATATCTGCACATTACGTTGAATTTCTTTCATACTAGACTCTAATTCCTGAACTGTCCTGAAACACAAGGCGAACAGTCACATTACATGCATTGGTTGTGATGTATTCCGTAAAGTAGACAGCATGAACCAAGCAGATTTCTGTCTACTGTCTATCGGAATACTGATATCAGTGTGGCGGTAAAATGGGATAAGGTGTACAAATTTACTATACACTCACAGAACGAAAGAATGTGGGGGACGGTGTCCACTGACATCACTGACAATACTCACCAATGGCCCATACATCAACGGGAGGCCCATACTGGGTGTCACCCACCAGGAGTTCCGGAGCTCGGTACCAACGGGTAGCCACGTAATCCGTGTAATTTTCTCCTGGGCCTGAGAGACATAATAAAAATCGTTAAGTGAAAATAACAAATTATAATAAAGTTAGAGATATCTGAAAACGAGAATATTGTCAGATAAATATGATTCTGGATACACTCAAAATCACTTATAATGAAAATTACAATTAGTTCCATGACGCAATAAAATTCATAAACTTAAATTCTGATCACGTCCAACAAAAACAAATATGGCGGAAAAAGAAGACGGAAGATAGACAAGTTTGATTACCAGTTCAAAATTTTAGGCAAAATAATATTAATTTGTTAGTTATGAGAAACCACAAAGTCGTTGGTATTTTGGAGTAAATAGCAAAATAAATAAATATGAATTTATTTTAATTGTTCACTAAATAATTTCAGAATTTCTAAAAGTGTTTATATTACTTACTAGGGCCCACTCAGCCTCCTGTATAATGTGTACAAGGGGATCTTCCGCCGGGGACAAAGCGGTAGGCGCGTGAAACTATCCACTCACCTCCATCTAATGCCCGCATCAAGAAAATTGGAACTATATCTCAACTACACCAAATATCTTCACGGTATACTGCGCAACTAATGAAGCACAGGGACAGATTTAACTTTGTTCAATTATAGACCTTTAGTGAAAGACTTTTGGGTCATTTCATGTGAAATCATCCAGAGAGATCGCTCGCCATTTTTAAAAAAAAATCATATTTTGTACACTTATTTCTACATACTTTCACACTTCAATTTTTTTTTAATTGTAGCCCGCTCGGTTCTCCCGGTACAGCCGTTTTTATAATGCGAAAAAACGCGTTTTCGCCTCAAATGGAGGTTTTNTTTTATAATGCGAAAAAACGCGTTTTCGGTTCAAATGGAGGTTTGCGTTTTCTTCTGTATCTCGATAATTGTTGCAGCTAGAGACTCCAATGAAAATCTGATTTGTTCCTCATGATATGGACTACAAATCATATCATTAGAAAGTTTTACTCAACTCACTTCTTCTATGTGTAATTAAGCTTGTAACTTATCTATCGATTTTGAGAAAAACTCTATTTTTGACCTTCAGAAACCAATGGGAGGGGGAAAGTATCACATCTGTGGTTTCTACCCCTTGTTGTTACCTACATTAGGAATATAATCACGTAGTTTTGAACCACGTACCTATTTTCCAAAATTTTCCTGGAGCTTCCAAACTCTGCTCTGGGCCCAAAATCGACCATTTTTAACATCTCATATCTCCGGTGGGGAGAATTTTGAAACTCATAGCAAATAATTCTCTATTATAGAGTAACATGGAATTACAATTACAACTTTGATATTCAACTAATAGTGAAGTTCTTATAACGCAAACTTCCATTTCATGTGAAATCGCGTTTTTTCGCATTATAAGAACTTTTCAAATAAGAAAGATCTCCCAATTTCGGTTTAATTCACATCCGTATTGCATATAAAATTAACGGAAGTTAACGTAAATGTCGGCTGTTATAGCAGTAGCAATTATCACGTGAACCATTCCTTTCACTGTAAAGCATTCGCCCCTTGAAGAATATGAGAGACTGCACGCTATACAGAAATGATGGAGAAGTTGCCGCATCTGCACGGCGAACGTGTCAGATCGGATCTCTTTTATAACAATGCTCAGTCATGACTGTCTTGAATGACTGATAGACTTAACAGCAGGAAATGTGTTTTCTGTGTTTCTGCGTCTTCCCCTTTGTGTTTTAGAGATTTATGCAGAACGTTGGAAAAAATCAACACACAAAAACTTTCACATACGTTTGTTACAAAGTGCACCACATCCTTTCATTACATCACAAGTACTTGTCAAATGACATACAATACAACTCACTCACTTACTTACTCACTTACTCACTCATGAAGCTGAGCCCTTCTGGAGGAGCTGCTAATTCTACAGCTACTCAAGAATTTCCCAGCATTTTATGGAACCCGAAGGTTCATTACCGTGTTAACAAGAGTCCTCCACTGGTTTCTATCCTGAGCCAGATCTATCCAATCCATTCCATCCCATCCTATCTCTCTAAGATCCATTCTAATATTGTCCACCCACCTACGCCTTGGTCTTCCCTGTGGTCTCTTTCCTTCTGGCTTTACCACCAATATCCTATACGCATTCCTCGTCTCTCCCATTCGATCTACATGACCTGCCCACCTCATACTCCTTAACTTGATCATTGTAATTATTCTTGGAGAAGAGTAACAGTTATGAAGCTCCTCATTATGCAGTTTTCTTCAACCTCCTGTCACTTCATCTTTCTTCGGTCCAAATATTCTCCTCAACACCCTGTTCTCAAACACCTTCAGTCTATGTTCCTCCCTTAATGTCAGAGACCAAGTTTCACACCCATACAGAAGAACTGGAAAAATTATAGTTTTGTATATTCTAATTTTTATGTTTTTGGGCAGCTGACGAGAAGACAAAAGGTTGTGGACTGAATGGTAGCAAGCATTACCCGAGTCCAATCGCCACTTAATTGCCTCCTGAATCAGGTTTCGATCTGTTATCGTTGTTCCAAAATATCTGAACTGTGCCACATTTTCAAAACATCTGTTTTCTATCTTTATATCATGATTCTGCCCTGCATTTTGGTGACGAGACGGCAACATATTCTTAGTTTTCTCTGTGTTTACTTCTGGACCAACCCCTTTACTTGCGTCAGTTAAAGTTTGTGTGTTTTTCTTTATGGTATCTACATTATCGCCGGTCACGGTAGCCGAGCGGTCTAAGGCATGCACTGTCTTCGCTCGCTCGGAAGCCGGGATCGTGGGTTCGAATCCCACTCAGGGCATGGGTGTTTGTGTGCGTTTTTCTGTGTTTGTCTACAGGTAGAGGCCTTGCGACTTGCTGATCACTCGCCCAAGGAGTCCTACCGTATGTGGAAGATCTAGTAAACCGAAGTGAAACGGAGAGTTTCATGGAGGTAGGCCTAGGCCTAAATTGGGGCTGTAGCGCCACAGAAAGAAAAATCTACATTATCACCCAGTAGATTCACATTATCGGCATAGACCAACAGCTGATGTGTCCCGTTTAGTTTCAGTCCCACCTGGATTCCCTGGACCTTCCTAATGACATACTTCTAAAGCAGAGTTGAAAAGGAGTGGCGATAAAGCATCTCCTTGTTTTAGACCATTCTGGATAGGAAATTTACCAGACAAATGTTTACCTACACGGATTTTACTATACGTTTCGTTTAAAACATTTTAATCAACCTAACTAGTTTCATGGGTATCCCAAACTCTATCAGAGTATTGTAAAATACTTCCCTCCTAATCGAATCATAGGCTTTCTTGAAGGCCATGAATAGCTGATGTACTGCCTCATCCTACTCCCATTAATTCCCGACGGTGCAAACCCATTTCTTATTCTCAGCATCGAAATGGACACTGTAGACAGATAAAATGCTTTTGACCCTTGAAAATCGGATCAGATTCCTCCGCTGGCTATATGCCCATCCAGTCTTCTGTCCAAAGTGGAATGGAGGTACTTTGGGTGGGATAAAGCAGCTGGGACTTACCACTGACCCGCTCACCTCAATGTACGTAATTTTGAGGCTAAGAATGAGCAGAGCTATACCTCCACTTCTCCATACATTTCATAACATAGTGGTTAATCAACCACATTGACTACTTAACCTCTGGCGTTTTAACACAAAATTACTCTGCTTGCCTATTTGATGTCAACTGTATTTTCAACCTAAATATCTGTGATTATTTGAGATTATGCTCACTCAACATTCTCGCGAAACCGAAGTCACAGAGCTTAACAACTCCCTGGGCTGTTAGCAAAATATTCTCCGGCTTCACGTCTCGGTGGATGCAGTTGTGTTGATGGCAATATGCTATTCCCTGTAGCGTCTGCCACGTGATCTGCCGAGTCAGCAGTTCCGGACAGCCTTGTGGGAACTTCTCTAGTTCTGCCAGCACAGTGTGGTCACAGAACTCGAACACAAGATGGAGCTTCCGCTTCCGTCGAAACACTTCCAACAGATTAACCAAGTTGGGGTGTTTCAGATTCTGAAAAGAAAATCATTCGTATCATAATGAAACATTGGCGATTAGCATTTAGGTAAAATTAAGAGAGCAAGTTTTCACCGCCGTGAAAACCTCAAATCTTACAAAGTAAAGAAGTCTTTACGTAAGATACATTGTTAGATTATTGAGCAAATCAAACGTTGATGTATGTGTGTATATGTCGGGATTACTGGATTTTTTAACGTCGTCCATCGTTCGGTATTCTGAAGAAACTAAAGAACCCAATGTTTTGGAAACAGCATCTGTTTCCGTTTTAAGGAGAGGGGGTGAGAGACGCTTACTCTGTTGATTCCGTTAGAAAGGGTCGACCTCGGTCACCAAGTCCGGTGGATCCAGTGACTGAGGTTAGCCATCTGTAACGGACACAACAGAGGTAGCTGTCCCGCACCCCCTCCCATAAGGACGGAAACAAATGAAGGTGCAGTTTCTGAACTGTTGTGTTTTGTTTTTTAGTATACTGGACGTTGGGAAAATGAACAAAACCCAACAATCCTGAGTGTTATACACCATCGTTAAAATTCTTCATAATCTACGTGTATATGTTTGTGGTGTATACCCCTGAAGTTATTCGGAAAGAAATAGGAGCGCAAATAAATCCAATCATCCAAACCAGAACCCGTTGTTATTCGTCACGGAAGCACGGATACGTGACAAGATCCTTTATACACCATAATTCTTAAAAATCACAATGTCTCTTTATTCGACGTTATATAAAAAATTAAACAACAATGCCATCAAATGAAACAAAAAATAACAGAATATGTCGACTCATGAAAATGCATTTCTTTCATGGTTACAGCAGTAAACTCATGGTCATTTAGTGAGTGTTTACGTATACCCGATCGATTCAAGGCCATCAGGGCAGCGGTAGTGGTATAAATAAGTCGGCTGTTGCTGTGTGATCAGCCTGCGAACCGTTCGATACCAGCAAGTTCGCTATTTGAGACTGCGGCGCGGTGTCCTTAGTCATAAGGAAAACACATTTTTACATTCATTTCTAGCCTCCTCTGCTCTGTGCTGTGGTCTTGGTTTTCTGATGGGCTTCTGGAATGTTATTATAACACTTATCTTCACCGTTATGTAATTAGAACTGGATTTCAGTACAATAAATATATGGACTGTATATAATCACGTTTTCTTACATGAAGTATGCCTAACAACTGCTTCTGTAACAACAAATACACTAATAATTTGTATTTGCATACTCAGATTTTTAATTCTTTCCAATCATGGGATAAATTAGATTACATTATGATCAGTGCAAAAATTATTGTTAAAATTAAAAGCAAAGCCTCCTTATTTCTGCCCAGACTCTGTTGCGAAGATATTGTGTTATAATCCTTCTTGTTGGTTTTGCTTTTAGGGAGTAGATTCTAATAAATGTTCTGAAGGTACTGGCTTCAGTCATTTCTATGTGAAGTCTACATATAATCCTCTTATCGAAGGTTACAACGAGATATTTTACATGATTGACGAAGGAGATATTCCGTCCATCCAATGTACGTAATGTGAGCCTCAGGGGGACTAAGTCTATGTAGTAGGGAAAGAACCATTGTTCCCCAATTTATAGGAAAGTGGACTATTTTCTGAGTAGGCCTGGATAATTTGTCGAGGAGACTTATCCCCGTTCTTCCTCGAAATCCATACCAAATAATACTCAATTTACTGACAAATATTCTGGAGTATCATTTGATTAACAAAATAAAAGTGAAATTGTATAAAGCTCGTTACTTACGGTAGCCAAAATTTTGGAGTTAAAGCAAGTAAGTGAAACTACTAATCGATACATTTACCGTAGGAGTAAAGTAAACGCTTAAGTGTAACTTCAAGAATTAATGTTTAGCTTCACACTTTCTCGCACTGACTCAATCTTAAAAAAAAACTGAAATTAACGTCTTCNACTCAAGAATTTCCCAGCATGTTATGGAACCCGTAGGTTCACTACCGTGTTCACAAGAGCCCTCCACTGCTCCCCATCCTGAGCAAGATCAATCAAATCCATATCATCTCATCCTGTCTCTCTAATATTCATTTTAATATGTCCACCCACCTACGCAGACTGCTTCTACCGGTTCTCACGGTCTCTTCGCTTGCGGATGTCTTATTTTTCCTTCTACCCTGAAGATGGAGGCGATA